GCCTTGATCATACGTGATCGTGTTTTTCTTTTTTGTCCAAAGAAATAGGGTTTATAAGGGTTGAGCTCCTAAAAATGGTATCACGGCTGCTTTCGGGCTTGGGGACGTTTCTTGTCGCTTGGGCAGGCGCACATGGGATATGCCAGACGCTGAGTTGATCCAGCAATACAAGCTTTTCGTGAGCAGACTTCGAGTGGCGTGGAGAGGCTTGCTTTCTGTCCCAGCAGACGTTAGAAAAGCTGCAAAAGAATGGGCCCTGCCGGGACAGTACGTCGTGTTGCCATTGAAAGTTCATGCTGGATTGATGGCTTTACGAGGCTGTTTGAAGAACTGTGGCCACGCAGACCTCTGCAAGATCATTGCGCTGATCTCTGCTTCTGTTGCGGGCAAGCCAGACACCTTTACCGTGGAAGCAGACTGCGCCTGGCCTGCTTCAAAAATCCTTGTATATTGAGCTTTTGGGCATCAGGGGTCAGCGTCTCATTGCTTTTAAATATTTTCAGCCCAAGGTTTAGCCAGACCTGGCATTTCGAGACGAGTGAGAGGCAAGTCGCCAAAACTGGCGCAGGAGGGAGCCATCATCAGGCCTGGAGAAGTAGCTTCTGTGGCAGCCAAGATGGTCATGGTTGTGGATGTCGAATGTCAAATAGATTATGCAGCAGTGGCCAGAGATGTGATGATGAAGCGGTTCTTTGCACTTCCCACGCGCGATAGCCGCCCCGCTTGGCACGCAGCGCGAGCTTTCCTTCGCTTTCGCATGCTCCGGGCTCCGGAAGCTGCGGTGGAACGGATCGGCTCGATTCTCCATCACCAATTCAACACCATGGCACAGTTGGCTCCAGCGCAGGCTGTGGACAGGGCGTTGCTGGCCCAAGGATTGGTGACATGTCTCGGCAACGAGAGGGATGACCTGCTCAAATCAGCCGTGATGCAGAGCATGTGCCAGAGTCGGAAGCAAGTGCTGCGCTGTAAGACTCCTGTGGTTCAGCAGGTGCTTGACAAGAGCGGGGCTTTGGAGAAGAGCGGCCGCTTCCACGAGTATTTTCCTGGACATTCCACAGCTGATATGGTTGCTCTCGTGGCCCCAGGCGGGATGCAAGACCTTGAGATGGGCGCTGGCAGGCTGCGCCAGATACTGAGAGAGCATCGTTTGGCGTCAATTCCCACAGCATTGCCAGACAACCTCCAAGCTGCACTTGCGAGGGTCACCAAGGGAGGGCCCAGGTCTTAGTTGTTCGTGCGTGAAAACGTGTTGTATTTCAGACCCTGAATTTGGGTCACGGGTTTTTGTTCTCCTCACGATGACTTGTTCGTACATTGCAACAAAGGATTGTGGAAGCTTTGCCCCAGTCGAAGGAGTTGGCCCACGACAGACGGAAGGGCAATGTGGCACCGTCAAGCATGAAGAGTCATCTGCTGGAATGGTTGAAGAGTGACGAGGGCCGTCGGTACCAAGAAGCTCACATGAAGTTGTGGAAGTCCGGCCTCCATGCCTGAACAGACGTTGTCGACCCCTGCTGCGCGCAAAGCCCGGCCCAGGGCCAGAACATGTGAACCTCTAAACCCTCAACCCTCAACCCCATGCCACGCAAAGCCGTTTCAGATGCGGCGGTCGGAGTCGCTGTTGGTAAGTAAGTGAGACTTTTCACTCAGGGGTTCGGGTAGCTGGGGTAGCTAGACCCCTCCCCCCGGTGCGAATCTCTGAACCTGTAAAACTTTAAGCCTCGAAGCCATTTCTTAATGATCTCTGTGCCTTCAGGGAATTCGCAGGCTTCCGGATCGTTGGTAAGTTAGACTGTTCACACAGAGGTTCAGGTAGCTGGGGTAGCTAGACCCCTCCCCCCGCACTCTCTGCCCAAGCGAACCTCTGAACCTCTGATACTCTAGGCCCTTTGTCTCCCTCAACCCCATGCCTTCAGGAAATTCGCGTGTTTCCGGATCGTTGGTAAGGAAGACTTTTCACACAAGGGTTCGGGTAGTAGCTAGACCCCTCTCTCTGAACCTCTGAGACTCTAAGCCCTTTGTCAACCCTCAACCCCATGCCTTCAGAGATTTATTTCACATGCTTCGGGAGCGTGGGTAAGTAAGACTTTTCACACAGGGGTTCGGGTAGCTGGGGTAGTCTATTTCCCCACCTCTAAGCCCTTTGTCAACCCTGAACCCAATGCCTTCAAAATCGTGCCAGGTGCCGACACCGGTTTCGTGCACTGAGTTTGCCGGGCCAGCGTCATCGTATGCAAGACAGAGCTCAGCGCTTCGGAGTCATGGGTAGGTAAGACTTTTCACACAGTGTCGCGTTTGCAAGACAGCAGTAGGCGCTGTCAGACTTGATGCAACTTTGGAAAGACCGCTTTTAACCAGGACACTCAGCGCTTCGGGATCGTGGGTAAGTAAGACTTTTCACACAGTGTCGCGTCTGCAAGACTCAGCAGTAGGCGCTGTCAGACTTCCCGCCAAAGGACATAAGTTTTCACCAGACTCAGATGCAACTTTTGAAAGACCGCTTGAGACCAGGATCCTCATCGCTTCGGGATCGTGGGTAGGTAAGACTTTTCACACAGTGTCGGTTTGCAAGACAGCAGTAGGCGCTGTCAGATTTCCTGCCAAAGGACACAAGTTTTCACCAGACTCAGATGCAACTTTGGAAAGACCGCTTTTAACCAGGATAGCAGTTTCAGGCCGACTTGGTTTAGCACGGGCCTGACTAGATACACACACACACACACTCCACTTCCTTACAATTTTTAGCCCTTCAACCTCTGATAATAATTAGAGAGAGAGACCTGGAAATTTCACAGTAGCATGCACATTGGAGAGCTCGTTTCTTTGGAACTAGGTTGTTGTTGGTTCAAGTTTCGAGTCTTAAAGATTCCAAAGTTCTCACAGTCAGTAACTCCTTCAGCCCGCCCTTGTCGCAGCATCAACACCCCCCCCCCCCCCCCCCCCACAGGTCCACTTTACCCAGAGTCCTGGGTCCTCGATCGCTTTGTGCACGTTGACAGAAGAATTGATAGCCGTCATGACCCATTAAACTGCCAGTATACACAGTGGCAAACTTTTCCCATCATGAGCGTTCAAGCACGCGGCAGTGCCAACCAGCGTCATGGTTTGGGTTGGCTCTCCACCGCCCATCAAAACCCCCCAAAAGTGCCAGCATACACTTTGGCAGCGTTGTCAAGGTCACACAGTTGACCTTCCATCATACATGGCACCCAGTCATGGTGCCCAATCAGCCGCACTAGCCCCCTTGTCACAAGTGGGAGCACATGGACTACAAGGAAAAGGCGTCTCACGCATGCCCTCCCACAGCCTCTCCACCCCCATCCACCTGAGCCTCGCCCTCAGCTTGGCAAACTTTCATGTCAAAGGCGATTCACTGGGTACTTTCGGCGTTCGCGCGCACACAGTGCCTCAGGGCAAGTAATCTGATCTCCCAGAGAGGCGCAAGAGACAGACTAGGTTCCCTGGATGGGCAACTCCTGGAAACTCAGAAACTAGGTTTTCCTGGAAAGACTGTGGGAAACTGTCAACTAAGGTAGCCGACATGTCTTTGTCCGAGAGGCTGGAGGAAACTCCGTCGCTTGCGCAGATGGCTTTGCGTGGCAGCGCCGAGATGTACGAGGAAGCTTGGACATCGGGGGCACTGCATTGCGCGGAGGGCTCCGCTTCCCATGATCGCGCCCGGATCAAGCTAGAGGATTTGGGTGGGACCAGGTACGCAGTGGTGTCCGTGTGTGGAACCACAACAGTCAAGCAGTTTGTTGAGGCGGTTCGTTGCTGGGAGACAAAGGTGATCGCGCAGAGCAAGGGCCAGAGCAGCTTCAAAGTTCACGAGCCCTTTTGGACGGCTGCAGAAGATTTGTGGAAAGAGTTGAAGCCGCATGTTGTGCGAGCAGTTCGGGAGGAAGGGGCCCAGTGCATCCTTTTCACCGGCCATTCCCGCGGCGCTGCAGTGGCCCTGCTCCTCTTCTACATGGCCCTCCTCGATGAAGATGTCCTGGGGGCGGAGATGCTTCTCATCACCTTTGCCAGCGTCAGAGCCGCGGACAAGGACTTTCGCGCAGAGCTCGCCAAAGCAGCAGAGTCCCGGGGTGGGCTGGAGAAGATTGCAGCGCTTTTCGTGAACAAAGGCGACCTCGTGGGCTCATGGCAGTTTTGGTTCGAGCACCCGGTCAAACCGACCACAATTGGGTCTGGCTTGAGAGTCCTTGCGGCCGGCCTCAAAGCCCTCCGCGCATTCCAGGCGGACGAGGTCTCCGTCTTCCAGCGGCTCCTGGAAGCCAAACCATTGGCTGGAGAGCTTTATGAACAACATTCAATTGGGGCGTACAGGGAGAGCCTGGCCTGCTTCTGCAACACCCACCACCCCAGACCGGCCCAAGCTTCTTGGAAGATCGATGTTCAGCCCTGAGGACCCAAGAAGTTTTTTGAGTGTCGACGTATGTTTCTGAAGCTCTGATCTCCTTCTGTGCTTCCATATCACATGAGATGAAGCCTGAGGTTCCCGGTGAGACCGATGAACGTGCCTTACGTGAAGCCCAAGCGTTTCAGCATGAGTTTCGGCATGAGGCGCCTTTCCTAATCTGTCATAGCTGGTCGTGCACAGTTGATCTGCAAGAGCCTCGGGCCTTACCCCCCCCCCCTCCCCCCTCACTCGCCTCCACGGCTCCTCAGGAGTGCAGTGTTCGGCAGACTTCACCGGCGATTGCGTCTACGGAGGCCCGGAGCAAGCTCACTAGCAGAGGCTTGGTGATGTTTAGCCTGTCAGCAGCAGTATTAAGACGTGCGGAATTCAGTCCCAACTGGCCGCACATGTCCAGGCCATCCGACCTGTCTTAAGCGATGATGTGGATACTCTTCATTTCCCTGGGGCGACGAGAACGCAATCCTCCGGGGTTACAAGCCTCGCAACTCTGCTGGGAACTTGTGTTTAATGTTCCGGAGCTATGTAGGAGGCTTTCGGCAGATTGGGTGGACACCTTATTGCAGATCTCCACGCGATGCTAATGAGCAAGCCAGGCGTTTTGCCTTTGTTCGTTTGCAGTAAGAAAACTTGGGTTTCAGCAAGAAATTCCCCTGGAGAGAGAACCTTTTTGAAGCTGCCAAACAAGGTAGCCGGTACGACTTTATCCACCAGGCCGGAGGAAAATCCATCGCTTGCTTGGACATCGAGGGCGCTGCATTATGCTGAGGGCTCCTTTTCCGATGATTGTGCTCGGATCAAGCTGGAACAGGCGAGTGGGACCCAGCACGTGAGCGGTGTCCCTTCAGATTTGGACAGGGCGCATGTACCCGGAATTGTCTTTTGGGCCGACAAGAACGGGCTTCTCCAGCTCACGTGTGATGCCGGGTGGAAGTTCGAGGTGCCGGAGAACTTCCGCAAGCCCATCATGTACAGGTGCAAGATGGGTGCTGTGGGTTTCTCAGTCTCCTGCTGTGCTGATCGAGAAACTCGCTTCTTGGATGAGCGTGAGCAGGCAAGTCTGGCCTATGGACTCAAGACCATGTATCGGAAGAGAATGATTGCAGAGAGCCAAGAACAACTTGAGAATTTGGACCTTTGGCACATTGGACAAGCTTTGCTGAGCAGTCCGGCGTTGGGGCAGGATGCCAAACGCAGACTTCTGCAGGCTCAACATAAGGTCACGTCTGAGATAGAAGGCATCCTGGAAGCGAGCTCAGCACATTTTGGCATGTCGATGAAGGCGCAGGTTTACAATCTACAGGTGAGTCTACAGAGTCTCAGGACTCGGCTTGCAACAAGCGCGTCGCCAGTTCCTGGGGAAGTTCTCTGCAGAGTTCTGGCAGCAGACATTGCAAAAGTGACACGCCAGGCCAAGATTGTGGGCGTGGCTTTGCCAGGCAGGTTTCCTATGATGATGGAGGCCGACAGCTTTCAGGAGCTAATGCTGGCCGTGCAGAACGCTCAGATCGGGCAGAGCCTCCAACAGGAAATTCTGGAGATTCTTGAAGACCTGCAGCAGATCTTCCTGGAGCCAGATCAACCCGCCAAGCTCATGTGCAGTGTGTGCAGGGCCCTGGTCCCTCACTTTTCTTTTGAGAACTGCTCTGACGAGGCGAAGTGGGTTCTGCAGCACCTCTCCAAGGTGTTCCGCAGCAAGGTCCGCAAATTGCAGTTCTCGGAGGAGATCCCAGATCTGGTGGCGGATCTGGACCAAGCCGCGCAGGAACGCGGCTGCGTCTGGCAACAGCTTGGTTCGGTGGCTGCCCTCACGGATGCTGTTGGCTACATCAAGAGGATTGACCTCCAGGTACGAAGAGGCTTTATAAATTCTACTCTGGGTGACCGCGCAGAAGTGGAGGCAGCAATCAGGACGATGAAGGCTGAGCTGCGTCAGCTCATCTACAAGAGTGCTGGCAGCCCCGAAGGTTCCGCAGGACTCCTCAGTGACGAGGAGGAGCAGAGTCTTTGTGAGCTCGTGCGTGCGCAGAAGGAAGAGACAGAGCAGACGTATTCCGAAGGAATGCTTAGTACAAAGGAGAGGGATGATGAAGCCAAGTACAGCAAAGCCGTCCGATCTTCAATGTATGATGCGCAGAGCGAAGGGAACGACTTCAACATGTTGGACAGGCTCCACAGAGAGGAGTTGGTCAAGCTTGGTACCCTTGTTCAGGAGCTGCAGAGTCGAAGGGTGCGGCTGCAAATGCAAAAATGCGAGGATGTGCCGCAGCTAGACGAAACGATACGGCTGTGCAGGGCACAGGAGGCGTGCTGGCGCCATCACTTGCAAAACCTGAAGGACAACGAGACAGCGGTGCGGCAGAAGAGCAGGACAATCGAGGATCAACAGCGGAATGCCCTCACAAATTCTGCGAGCACACAGAGAGAGCTTCTGGCGTTGTACAGGGAGCGTGACAGGCTGTGCAATCAGATCAGTTATGAACTACAGAGAAAGGCAGATCTCGAACATGAATTAGAATCAGAAAGAGATGCAGATCTCGAACGAAAGAAGGTCGCCGAAGAAATTCAGTGTGAAATACGAGACTTAAGAAGAGCAGCAGACCTTTGTCACCCTTTTTTTCACCGCGAGGCCAAGGAGCAAATCGGGCAGAAGATCGAGGAAAAGAGCAGGAGACGCACAGAGATCTACAAGCACATCGAGGAAAAGAACGGGAGACTCACAGAGCGCATCCAGAAGGCCAATGTCAAGCTCAAGGACCTGAAGATAGAACTTTCAGGGAAAGAGCAGGAGATACAACGCATGGAGAAGGACTTCAACCAGCTTGGCGAGGAAGAGCAGCAGGTGCGGTTGAGGGGTAGATATTGCGACAAGGACTCCAGCACCGTGGCCGAATCCTTTCAGAAGGCATACAACCTGTCGAATAGGCTTCAGTCCAAGACCTTGGCCTTACAAGGCCTCAAAGATTCTGTCGAGCAAAAGATCGAAGATGAAGAGGAGAACCTTTGCCAGCAGTGGGAGAAGATCTGCGAGGCGCGGGAGTCGATTGGCGACTCCGAGGGCTACGCTTCGAAGCTGCTCCTCGCATCTGCCCGGAGGAGCTTCGCGGAGATTGAGCGCTCCATCTGCGCTGTGGGGCTCCAGGAGACTGCGCAGGAAGGGCGGCGGCTCCGCCAGGCGCGAGGGTTTGTGCAAACCTCTTCGTCCCAAGTCTGCGTTCCATCTTGCAAGAAGGGGGTGATTAAGTCGGTTGTTAGGCTGCCGACAAGCATCTCGGGACCAGGAGCACGCGAAGCTGGGCGAGCAGATTGCCGGCGCAGAAGAGAGGCAGAAAGCTTTGGAAGAGAGGTGCTGCGAAGTCAAGCTTAAAGCTCAGGAAGCGGAGCAGGAGGTGAACGAGAAAACCTTGGAGTATCACAAATGCATTCAGAGGCGGAACGCCATTGACATGGAGCTGAAGGTGGGTGCAGAAGGCAAGATCGCCCTGTGTCAGGAGCAGCTGGTCACCACGGAGGCAGCGAAGGAGGCTGCGCAAGCCGACCTTCAGAGGGCCAAGCTGCAAATCTTGCGTCACAAGGTGTTTGGGAGGCTCAAGCATGTCGGAATGCACCGCAATGTCAAGCAGGCGGAAGATCTGAACCACTCAAACGTGATCAAGACGAGGGCGCATCGCGACTGCCAAGAGGATCGTGATGGCCGACGCCCTGAAGGAATGCATCCAGTTTGCAATTACTTCCAGGTCTTGGACAAAGCACTAAAGGTTATGGTGCAGGAGGGAAAAGCACCCAAGGAATTCTGGGAGGAGGTCAAAATGAAGCAAGAGTGGGACCATGTCCGTGAGCACCACAGCCAAGACTTGCTCCAAGCTTTTGAAGTTTTGAAGCAGGAGCTGACCCGATATGATGATGACGCAGCTTCCACAGTGGCAGAGTACACCGACAGACTTGAAGCCACCAAGCAAGAATTGGAAGCGGCTCAGATGCTTCTTTCGAGCCGAAAGAGGCTCGACAGCTACATCACCATCGGTCGGCGCGGCAAAGACACTGCAAGTGAACCTTCCGTGGCAAAAAGGCTCCTTCAGGGGCTGGATCTACTAGTTTTGGATGGGTCGACACAGGTCGCCAGCTCCTTCGGAACCAAGCCAATCAGCAACTTCTTCGAAGAACACCTCTTTCCTAAACTGCCCCCAGTTTCTCCGGATGAAGCAGCGGATGCCCAGAAAGCTTTCGGATACCTGCTTAGGGACCAGGGCCTCACGAACAAAGAGTTGGACCTTTCACGCCCTCTCCATGCTCTCCATGTCACGGATGGAGCTGAGATGTTGCACTCAGGGGCTTGGGAGCTTCTGCGCGAAGCCCTAATACGACGTTTCAAATCCAGTTCGAACGACCCAGCAACGTTGCCGAAGCTCTTGGAGTTGGAGCAGGCGAAGAAGGGATTACAGGAAGTTTGCCAAGAGATTACCCGTTGCCAGCTCGACCTAGATTTGCAAGGAAGAGGCCTAGTGCAGTTGAAGGAGAGAGAGGAGCATATCAAGAAACTTCTGCAATGGAATGAGGCCGAAGCGAACAGCCTGGCTCAGGCAAGCAGCTCCGAGCAGCAGCTTCAGCGCATGCTGTCCATGTACGGCCAAATGCAGGCAGCATCGGATGAGGAGAGCCGCAAAGACGAAGAGCTCATGAAGCAAAAGCAGGCTGAACTGCAGGCCAAGTCCTTTGAGTTGGCTTCTGCCAAGTCCCAGTTGGATCCACAACTCGTTGAGAGCGTGGTCCGGCTGCTGCATGCAAGCTCCCATGCAATGCGATTCGGCTTGAACATCGACAGCCTCGCAGCTGGGCAGGTGAACTGCGTGTACTGCCCAGGAGCAAGCTCTGAGTTCATGGGCGCGCTTGAAGCCTTTACACGCCAGCTAGCCAAGGAGATCAACAGCGGATCAGTCCGCTTGACAGCGAGATCGATCCCTTCCAGCAAGCTGCAGGCCATCCTCAGCAAGTTGCCGAATGTCTGTAGTGAGCATCAGTCAGACCCAGACCTGCTGTCAGCGTCGAGGTACATCTTTCAGGAGTTTCAGAGGAAGAGGCAGGACAAGATGCTGGAAGTTCAGCATTGCCGTGAGGGCCTCAAGGCTGACATTCAGGCGCTCACCAACAGGAAAAAAATCCGCGATGAATTCTGGAAACCTGCAGCCGCAGCGCGAGTGAATCTCATTCGGGACTTTTTGTCGTTCCTTGGGCAGAAGGTGGTTGCGGCGTCCCGTGTCCAGCGACACCCCAAGCTCCAGGAGTACAAGCTCCAGCGCGCGACGAAGAGCTTTGTGTACCAGCTGGAAGTACTGACCAGTGTCTTTGGTCATAAAGAGCTATGTGACGCTGTTCAAGCCTTGGCTCCGATGAAGCAGAAGTGGTGGTGCCGTGCAGTGCTGGAAGTCTTGGAGCCGTACCTTGAAATTCCCAAAAGCGCTGACCGTGATGACCCGAAGCAGGTCTTGGACGTGATGGTCAGCTCCCTGAAGCTCGCTGCCAGCAAAGGTTTCTCGGACACTGATCGGCTCCAGCAGCTCATTAAGAAAAAGAGGCCTGGAACGGGTGGCGCAGAGTACTTGCTGAAGAAGCTCTCCTCCCGCCTGCATGAAGATGAAGACCAGGCAGGGTCTAAGCCAGGGTTGCTGCGCCGGGCGGCACGTGCCTTGGCTTCGCGGTTATGGTCCGAAGCAGGAGCTCCAGACTGCAAGGACTTCACAGACCCTTGGGTTGTTTACAAATGTCAGCTTGAGAGCAAGGAGGCCACGCGGGAGGCTGATTTCAGAGCAGAAGTCGCCAAGAAGGAAGAATCCATTGCCCGTCTCGAGAAGGAGAAGGCGCAGATCTTGTTCCAGGATACAGCAGAGGAGGACTACACAGTGGATTGCCTCGATCGGTGCATTGCCTGCCTGGAGAAGAGTGCTGGTTTCCTGGCCTTGGAACGGCGCTTCACATCTCATGAAGAAATACGCGGCAGCAGCGCAGACTATGTCGTGTTCCAGCATGCGGGCAGGCAGGTTGCGATTCGCCTTTTGCACTCAGATCCATTGGCGAAGGGTGAGGAGATCCAGGAGATCCAGAGAGTCCGGGGCAACGCCGACTTTGTGAAAGACGAGCTCTCTCATCTTGTGGTCCGGAAGCAACGCCTGGCCCAAGAAGTGGCGGAGGCTTTGCAGCAATGCGGCTCCATGGACTTGCGGCAGATCCAGTTGCGCCTGCGCACCCTGGGTCTTTGCCTGGCGGGATATGATTCCTTCGACAATGGCCAGGAAGTTACGGGCATCGACAGCCTGGTGTCTGTAGCGTTGGATGCGCTGCTTGGCCAGACTAACCCCTACATCGTGGATGGTGTTAACAACACCTCGCTGGCCCTTGAGCAGCAGACAAAGCAGCTTGTGAGCGACTGGGGCGGGGAGGAGTCAAAGGACTTGGGCAAGATTCTCGACTTTGTCAACCAGCATTTTGCATCTCCCCAAGCCAGGCTCACGGAGGCTCGGCTGCTCACCTCTCAACATCGGGACTACGTACCGCTTGAGATTCCTTGGTCCAACGTCGAATGCTGCCGTGAGGTAAAGCTTGCTATTCTGCGAGTGCAAGATCTGCGAGTGCAAGGCCTGCGAGTGCAAGATCGGTTCTTCCTCATCGTTCCCATTGGGAAGGCCAAGATGTTTCAGGATAATGCTGCCATCGACCTGAAGCTTCGAATATCGCACCTGACATCACAGTTGAAGGGCGAAGAGGACTTGTGGGCTGCACTGTGCCATGCAAGGTTCCAGGAAGTGCATAAGTGCAGCCTCTCTGATTCCACGACCCTTGCGGCTGGCTTTAGGGACGAGCGTGCCAATCTTGCGAAGGCGTGGTCCGTGCAAGATTGCCTGCGAAGTCACGGCAAAGTAGCTGGCAGCATCTTGTCATGAGAGAACCTTTCTTGAGCTTCCACCGTTCTTCCAAACCCTGCAGGTGAGCTCTTTGCTGGAATTCAACGCCCTCTTTTGCGAGCCCTTAGAGCCTTGCACGGACGGCGTGCGCAAAATTGGAGAAAGGCACGAGCTTTTCAGCCTCCTCCAGGAAGCTGGGTATTTTCAAAGTATTTTCTCTGGCTGTTGCTCTTTGTTAGTTCTCCAGCGGCAAGCACCATATTTCTTTGACACCTAACACATTACTGTGCCACCCCCCCGCCCCCTTGCAAAAAGCAAATAGGAACCCCCAAAACACAAATCAGCAAAGCGTAAGCTGCTCAAAAGCGCCCTGGACCCTCAGCACCGTGGAGGAGCTCCAGAACCTTTGCGCAGAGGAGTTTCTTGGGGACGGTGACGAGACGACAGAGACGACCTGCTTGAAAGTCCTGAAGGATACGTACTTGAAGGCGTTCGGGGTCGTAGAGCCACGCCCTCTGCGGGTGAATGTGGTACCCTAGTGAGCCTTAAAGCCTTAAATAGTGCTTCTCACAGGCGATGCGCAAGGAGATCTGCAAGGAGCAGCGCCGGCAGAAAGCCAAGGCCGAGATGCGAGCAGAAGCGACCAAGGCCCCTCAAGCAGGGAGCAGCATGGAGCGTAGCACATGAACATGGAACAAACATGGAACGTAGGACATCCATCAATAACGTTCTCTTCTTTGGAGTCGTAAGATGCCATAAGAGTATATAGAGCCCAAATCCTTCGGAATCCTTGATGTCTGGGATGCGAGGAGCGCTTCCTGTCGGACGAGCAGGCTGCGCTGGAAGTGGACCAGGATGCCTCGGATGCCTTGCGAAAGCTAATTACCAACAAGGAGGAGGAACTTGCGAGGGACGAGCAGCTCATTGAGAAGCAAAGGCGCGACAGGGAGGACGCTGAGAGTAAGAGCAGCGAGAAGCTGGGGCACCTCTCCGGAATCAAGGCCAGAATAAGCAAAGATTTGCGGGACGCCCAAGAGAAGCTGCGAGTGCTCAAGGAAGACTCCCAGGCTGCCGAGTCGACTGTAAAGTCCCACGAGCAGCATGTGGAGACTTGGCTCCTTCTTCGCTGCAGGGCGATTGTGGGGGGGTCTGCACCGGGTGTGCTGTGTGCTTTGTTTCTGCTCGGCACCGACCTGAGGACCAGCTGCGAGAGGACCTCAATGCCAAGAATCGGGAGATCACGGAGGCTGAGGAGACGAAAGCTGCTCTCGAGAGTGAGATACGGGACCTGCAGATGCGGCGCCAGGCTCTCCTGGTGGACAGAGAACCTAGGCCCTAAGGTCCATGAAGAGATTGAAAGTGAACTGGTTTGAGTCACCCCTAGCAGTCTAGCAAAAATGTAGTCTTCTTCGCTATGAAGATAAGCCGAGGAGAATCTTCGAAAAGACATGGACAGGGCCCAGACGGAGAAGGAGCAGAAGCTGCTGGAGAAGAGTGCAGGTGAGGCCTTCATGCAGCTCATTACGAACTTGCGCAACTCCTTGGCTGATCCATCTTGGACCCGGAAGGATGAAGTGGAGCGAGTGTGCCGCAGAGCCAGCACCCTGCAAGACATTCTTAGTGGCTTCAGCGAGGAGGTTTGGGAAAGGATCTCAGAAGGGGACGGGCTCGAAGCCAAGCTGAACGCACTTCGAGCGTGCGTGAGCAGCGCTGAGCATCAGAGGATTGCAGGAGAGAGCCAGGCAGAGGCTTGCCGGAGGCTGCAGAAAGTCGTGCACGATTCCTTGCATGCGCCCAAGCCCGAGCTCGTGCTCGACGTGGGCACAGATGGGCAAGAGATTCGACGAGCCCAATTCTACGCAACTAATCTGACAGGAAGTAAGGTTCATGATCAGGTTAGAGACTTGGTCGAGCACGACATCTGTGCTGGATGTAGGGGCCTTCAGTTTGACAGCCAGGGTGTTCTTCGCTGCGAGCCAAATGGTGTGTCGAGCTTCGAGGAGCTCCCACCAAGACTAAAGGACTGCGGGTTGGGGGTTTGGGTTTGGAGTTTGGGTTAGGCGTTAAGGCGTTGAGGGATGGTGAGTCACGCGACCTTTGAAGCCGCCTGTCAAGTAAAAGCAGTGTAGCCTATCCTGGAAAAGCCCCTTGAGCTCCTTAGTAAGAAACGAGGGTCTACGGATCTTCATTGCTGAAGCAACCCCAAGCAAATGGCTCCAGCTCAAAATTGGCAACTTGAGGTAGTTGCCCCCTGCATGCTGACTTGAGCGCATGCCCGAAAGGACCTTATCCATGATGAGATGCGATTGCAACTCAAAAACAACACCAGCTTTCCTGATCAGCACCCAGCCATGAAGGCCAAGTTCGATGACGCAGTTAACGCCATCAACAGTCTCAACCTGCACTACAAAGACGTCGTGGCCCGATACGTGGACGAGATTGAAGTGGTTTGCGGGGGTTGCTTCGTGTTGGACAAGAACCCCTGCTATCCAGGAGTTGACCTCACTGTCCGCGCGCAGGATGCCCAGTTCTTGCCAGCAGAGATTGACAGCTCTGGTAGAGACGGTGGCAAGTTCCTCTACCAGACCGCGGCCAGTGGCCAAGATCGGCGAAAAGGTGGGGTTAGGGTCAAGGGGCTTTACAGTGCAGAAGGCTCTCTAGAAATTGAGTCACGTGTAGAATGCTGAAGTGCAGGAAGTGAGCCCGAGGGCTTGCAGGGCTCTGACGGGTGTCATGGCCAAGATGGTGAGCATGGAGGGCATGTGACTATCAAGGTGACCAACGTGATCAAGGTGCACCTCTGTTTTGCTTCACAGCTGTGTACAACAGGCGTAGAGTATCTTTCAGAGACATGACATGGGGGCAAGATACCCTAAGTGAGTGCAAACCATGCCCTGTGTGCAAGACCGCTGCTTCGTTGCTCCTTGACCCTGGCCTCGAAGTATGCCCCGCCCAGGACTTCCATCAGCTGAAGGGCATCAAAGCCAACGGCGGCAACGGTGGAACAGCCCAACTCGGGGGCAACGGCGACAGGGGGAGGAAAGGCAAGGACGGCGAGGATGGCAAGGCTGCGGACACGAGCTGGAGTGGCAGCGGTCAGACTTGCATCAGCTGGGGAAAGGAGGGCAAGGAAGGTGGTCCAGGCGGTGCCCCTGGAAAAACCGGCTTGTCCGGCAGAGCTGGCTGTGCTGGGAAGATCCGGATCGAGCACGCCAACGAGGCTGTAGACATCTCCCAGATGGCTTTTGCGGCGGATGGTGTGGCGGCCAGCTGTGTTTTGCGAGGCACAGCCCACCCGCCCATTGGAGGCGAGGGCGGTGAGCCAGGTGCGTTTGGCTTGGATCATGTGAAGGACAAGGGTAGTACATGGAGCAAGCAGAAAGAACGGCACATGGTATTGGATCGTGAAAAGATGAAGGCAACCATCAAGCACCGCTACAAGGGCCATGTGTCACGAGGAGAAGACATCGAGTCCACCAACCATAACGCCTGGTTCTCTCTGCTCGGCATTATTCCCCTTTTAATTTCCACTACAGCACAAGTTGATCGCATCGACCTGCACGAGGCAGTAGCGAATCAGGAAGAGTATCGGAACCGTGACCGCAACAAAGCGCACCGACGTGGAAAGGACCACGAGGGTGAGGCACACTTGAGGGAGGACAAGCGTGATGGACGAGGACCGCAGCGACCACAACGGAACGTTGACTGCCTCGAGCTTGCACTTAACGATCTGATCGATGATGCGAAGGAGACCAGTGGCGAGGCCGAGCACGCCATGGCCCGGGATGAAACTGCAAGGGAGATCGCAGATGTGGAGGACGAGTTGGCGCAGTGCCAGCAGCATGCAGCCCACATCGACACGGACCAGGAGAGTGTGCAGGCCAAGCTGGAGCAAAGACAGGCAGAGCTCGAGAAGACCCAGACTGGTCTCGACGACCTTAGAGCTCAGGTAGATCGGCTAGACTTGCAGTCGGTCTCTGCGGCTCACAACCTAATGCGCGAGATAGAGAGATCGCAGAAAGCCCGCGACCGCAGCACTCAGGAGAAGCTCCGCGTGGAACAACTCGTCGAGTCCTTGAACAACGAAAAGCAGAAGGAGGACAGTCTGAAAGAGTCGAGAGAGGACTTACTCAGATTGCTAGACGAGCAACTGGGAGCTCTAAGGATCCGGCGCAAAGCTCATGCTGAGGAGCTCAGACGACTCAAGCAAGAGCTGCTGAAAGGGAATCAGCAGATGCGAGAGAAGCGAGAGAATCGGAAGCACTTGCAAGCTTTGCTCGCGCAGAGGGTTAGAGACATACACCAGGACCACCAGGAGGTGGAGATGGAAGAGGACCAGCAAGAGCAAGAGCAAGAGCAAGAGCAAGAGCAGGACGTGCACGTGCACCAAGTCGAAGCTGAGGAGTTAGAGCTTGAGATCCCCGCTTCAAGCTCTGACAGCTGCATCTTCTACAGCCCAGAACCGTTCCTACCTTCCGACTTGCAGTGCACATTGCAAGAAAAGCTTGTTGAGAAGAAGCATGCGATGGGCGTTGCCGTCAGAGCGAGCCGTGCCGGTGTTCTTCCTCCGGAGCAGCTGTTGGGCATGCTTTCCCAGATAAGCCAGCCGGTCGAAAAGGGGTTCAGTGTCACTTTGGAGAAGCTCTGCCTGGCACTTGACAGCCAGCTTGGCAAGGATAGTTTCGAGGAGGGTGTCTGCAAGGTAGCACGCCAGCACTGGCGTGCCTGCATCCCGAAGCTGTCAGCCTTGCAGATTTGGGTGCTCGGGTCCTGGCACAACTCGAATCTGGAGCAGCTGGTGTCAAGTGTAACTTCGGAGGAGCTCTTGCAACTGTACCAACATGCAGCATCCGAGCCTGAGACGGTGACTCCCTCCTTGTGGTCATCCTTCAAATCATTTTTCAGGACGAGATGCCATTCTCCCGAGCCTGAGACAATGCGTGGGCCAACGAAATCCTACATGGATGAAAAGCTCCTGGGCGCACTGTCGGATCACATCCCCGTGCCTGCCGTGCCGCCACCTGAGCTGCAGCTGTTCCAGGAAGCTTCAGGTTGGATTCAATCCCTGATCACAGAGACCATGCTTTGCCAGCTAAGCCAAGTTGAGCGCGTGCTGCTCATGGAAAACCTCCAGAAAGTCTGCGACAAGCTGGGAGCTGACAGGTTGGTACCCTTGACCAGCACCTTCCAGGATACCTTTGTGATTGCAGCGCTGGAGAAGATCAGGGCACCGTCCGAGACTTCCGGAAGCATCGAAGCCTTCCGTCCCGCTGACTTGCCAGGGGACGTTGCACGCAAGTTGCGGCAGAACATGGAAGGGCCACGCTGCGTGCATCATGAGTTGGAGGCACAGATCGGAGCCATACTGGAACTGCTGCAGTCCGATGGGATTTTTCACTTGGAGCTGTGCGCTTCACGTCCGGCAGAATGTCCTTTACCGTTGTCGGAACTTGAGCTGGCACTTGTGAGATACAGCCAGACTTGGTTTATGGACAAAGCAAAGAGCTCCCTAGCCAAGGAGCAGCTTTGCCAAAGGGCCAAAGAGGCGAACCTCTCCCTGATGGGCTTGCGCACGCAGCAGCTCTCTGAACTGGTCGAGGCGTTCCTCAAAGAGATGAGGATTTTGGAGGGATCCCAACGACAACATTTCTTCAGAGCGCTGAAGGCAAACTTGCGGAGTTTGTGCATCTTTGCACTTGATTGGATCAGAGAAGAGTCTGCAGACATATGGGAGTTTCGCAAATTGGAATCGACTGTGCAAAGCGCTTTGCAGACTTCTTCCTCACATGAGGCGGCGTGCAGTGCCATGAACGACTTTTTTGACGTCATTGCAGTGTTTCGGAAGTTGACTGGGCCAAGTGGACCAATAGTTGCCGGGAGCTCGTCCAAAGCTTCCAGCAACCGAAATACTGCCAGCCTGTTGCAAGCTACACGTCGCTTGTTGTTGTTCATAGATGGTCCAGAATCGCGCAATCAGTCTGGCGAAATCTTGGCCTACTTCAAAAGCTTGGCCGAGCACCAAGAGTCGTCGGATTTTTGTGGGAGAATCCAAGAGTTGCAAGAGAAGCTGGAAGCGTTGGAGGCCCAACATACCGAATTCGAGGTGGAGACTGGGCCAAGCGCAGGAGAGAAGACGGACAAGCGCTTGGAGCTGCTGAGGGGCCTGCAAGCTCACCTGCTCCAGGAATACGGTTCCGCCGCAAACGAAGAGTCCTCTTTACCTTTCGTATTGTCTCTTCTGCGTGGATGTGATCAGTGGAGCGACTGGGAAGCCGAGGCAAAGGGGCTGTTCAAGTCATTAGGAGACCGGCAAAAAGAAGCTGCCAGCATGGCTGAGAAGAAGTGGGATGCAAGCTTCACGAAGGAGACGTACCACAAAGAGTATAAAGATTTTGAATACGCATTGCTCGTCACGCCAAGCCTTTCAGGGGCAGGCAGTCAGCATGTCACCTGCGACATCTCAAAAAGGCTTGATTATTTCAAGACCGCGGCATGCTTCGAGCAAAAGGCCTTCATGGAAGCTCTCGACTTTTTCATGGGTTTCACCGGTCTATCTTCTGCTCCACGTGATCATGATGGCACGCGGCTGCTGGCAGCCTTGCAGCAGATCGATGCCCTGTTGAAGGGCACCGAAGAGGAGCGCACGCTGGAGGTGCTGTCCGGATTGGCTATTAAGGAGGCAGACCTGCGCAAAGAGCTCGGCTTTATCCCGAAGTCTGGGAAGTACCTAGTTGATCAGCGTGAGCTGCAGCAGGCTTTGCACTCGCTCCGAGAGCGGGCGACTGCAGCTGGTGGACTGCAAGCGCTCTTGGATCGCTTGAAACAGGTCTGGGGCCGAGACGTCTGCCAAGAGCAGCACAACCTGGAGTACCGCTACGTTCTCGAGCTGTGCAACCCGGAGCACCTCCGTTTGGAGAAAGTGGCAGAGAAGCTGAACTCCGAAAGCTTGTCTCTGGACGTGAGCCTGCTGCTGAGGAGTAGGTACACCTTCCTTTGCGAAGAGGCCGCGCGCGGCATTTTCTCCAGGCTCCTGGACATAGCCTCCCAGGTGCCAAGCCAGGAGCAGCTCGCAGCATCTTGCCACTGCTTTTGGGACACCGTCCGGCTGCTAGAGACTGTCAAGTCCCACGACTTCCAGCGGCACAAGTTCTACGAGTCCCTGCAGAAGGAGCTGTGCCTACTAAACATGCTCAAGAGAAGCCCAAGCGAAGCCAAGGAGTGGGTGGAAAGGGTCGAGAGCCATGAGTTCTCAGGAGCTTAAAATGTTTTTCCCCACCCTCGGTGTAGGGTTGTTAGATGTTAAACTCAACTCAACTCTTCTCCTCGCCCGCCCGAAATTCTCCTCCTCGCCCGGAACTCTTCTCCTCGCCCGGAACTCTTCTGATCGCTCATTCCTGAAGTTGGCGTGACAACTCTAGAGTGTCCCTGGAGTGCCCAAGCCCAGAGTCTCCCTAAAAATGCCCAACCCCAGAGAGGCAGAGTGTCTCCAGAGTGGCCAGCCCCACAGTTTCCTTACCCTGATGTCCCGGAGTGTCCCAGAGTGTCCCAGGCCCAGATTCTCTCCATGGAGTGCCCAACCCCAGAGTCCCTGGAGTGCCCAAGCGCAGAGTGCCCCTGGTCTCCCCAGAGCGCCCAGTCTCCCGAGAGTTTCTCTCCAAGGCCCAATTCAGAATGTCCCTCAGAGTGGCCAGCCCCAGAGCCAACCCCAAGTATCTCTACCAAGAGAGGGTGGGGATGTTCCAAGTAAAATAATTTTGCTTTTCTTCGCCATCTTGTCTAGGAACATGCGCAGTCTTTTCGCTGCGTGGCAGAGTGCAGGAGCTCTCCGTTGCATCATCGACCTGTAACTCCGCTGAAGGGTGTTACCAGGTGGGTCACAGGATGCTGAGAGTGCTGGACTCCCACTGCATTGCTGCACGGTCCCAGCTTCTGCAGTCCTTCCTGGCTCGCTTTGGCAGAAGCGAGGACACCTCGGACACCTTGGAAAGGCTCTTGCAAGCAGCAAGGAGCCTAATGTCAGACACAGAAACCACAGACACGGATGTCATGGAGCTCTTAAGCAACATGGAGGTGGCTGTTTCAGACTCTGAGTCTGGCGAGAAGCTGTATAACTTCCTCGACGCAAGTTTCAGCCCAATGCCGGAGAAGGAGGAGGCGGAGCTTTCTTTCCGACAGGACCTGCTGGGGCTTGCAGACGAGGTCGAGGTTGAGGAGGTTCTTCAGAGACTTGAAGCGAATGCGGAGGAGATCGAGGCGAGGCGGCTCGCCGTGGAGAAGCACAGGGAACGCATCCTGGAGCTCTTGCGCGACGGGCCTGGCTCCAACAGCCACGAGAAGGAAAGCTGGGACCGTCTGGTGAGTCTAATGGGCCTTTACCTGGACAGACTTTTGCAAATGCTGGGCCAAGAAGATCAGGACGTCTGGCATGTGCAGCGGGAGATGGTGATGAGGCAGCTTGCAGAGGAGGTAGAGGGCAGGACGAAGATGAGAGGCACAGGCGCGGAAGAGGGTTTAGACCCAGAGCCGATGTGGATACAGAGGAGGATTGCCGAGAAGGTGAACCTGTACGCGCTCCGACAGGCAGGGCAACTGCCCGATGCTTTTTTGCAGCATCAATGGGCAAGAGGCCTAGACGCTGTGGACACTTCGTTCTCTGTAAAGAAACCTGAAGGCAAGACGCTGCCAGTGACCAGCCTCTTCGATGTCTTCGAGCACCCCTGCCTCAGCAAAGAACAAATTTGCACAGAGCCCATCTCCGCAAGATTTGGAGATGAGATGCAGTGCTACCAGTTCATGGACTTCGAGTTGCTCAGGAACAGCCCAGAGAAGTTCAACGTGCGCTTCAACAAGTACATAAACGGATTGAGAGGGCTGTGCAGAAGGCAGCGGTTGTGGCAGTTTCAGCAAGACATCGCCAGGTTCAACGCCAGCAAATCTCTCGAGAACTTCGAAAAGGTTATGGCGAGCTTCGCTTGCGTCCTTGTCATCAAGGGCAAAGTCGCCCGAAAGTGCTTGGAGTCCGGCTTGGAGCCACCGGAAAACCTGAAAGGAGCTGGAGATTTTGTGGACTCCCTGGCGACGTGTTTGGAACACATGCTTCTTGTGGAGGATAGGGCTCAGAGCATTGCCTCCGAGCTCAGGCAAGCCGCTGACATCTACGAAGACCCCTCATCAGAGTTATTAGAGTCATTTGAGGGCAATCGCGACTCCGCGACAGAGGAGGTTGCCATGAAGCTTGCTACGCTGCGATCCACCCTTGGCTTCAAGGCCTACAGGGCGTCTGCGGCGAGACTTGTAGAGCAGGAGAGGGATGCCTTCCTGGCGCGCTGGCCAGAGCAGGATTGTCTGGCGGACCGCGTCACAAAGCTGAAGCATCAGTTGTCGCAGGTGCTGTGGCTGCGGCGCACGCTCTTGAGCCGTATCCAGAGTTCGACGGCGCGACCAGCACACAAGGAGTTCTTTGCCACCTGGAAGCCGAAGCTTTGCAGAGCCTTTGGCCCTACGGAGGCCGTGTCGTCTGCAGAGCGCCTGGCTGCAATAGATGGGGTTTTGCACGCTCTGCAGGAGCAGAAGGATGCCCTCCTAGCACTTGGGCTGCAAGCCGACTCTGTCCAAGAGCTGGCAAAAAAGCTGGACCGTGGTGAACTCGAGTGGGGACAGATTTTGCAACCGCAGAACTTACGCTTCAAGGAACGGATTCAGCAGGTGGCCCTCATCTTCTCAGACATGTCGACGCGACGTCAATTCAAGCCCGGCAGCTTGCAAAGTCTGATCCGCAGCCTGGATGAAGCCCCCGTTGACTGGCATGATCTTGGCATGGAGCTGCTGGAGGCAACCCATCTTGTCACCGACAGTTTCTGCTTGCTACCGGTCATATCACAGAATCCGCTTGCAGCGAGTTCCAGCGGTAGAGCCCTTTCTTCACGGACCCTTCCTCCAAATGCACGTTACGTAGAATTTGAATAGCCTTGAAACTGCCATGAACCTATAAAGTACTCCCTGCAGAGAGCGAGGTGTACCTTCAAGAGGAGATGCTGCAGAATAGAGAATGTGACGAGCAATCGCTGGCGGAGGTGCCCTTGAAGAACTCTTGCTCGCTGTCCCGGGGTTTCCTTAGGCAGTGCATTGCCTCACGATTCAAGCAAATCCGGCTCATTCCTGAAGACTGAGAGCTGCTGAGTTGGTTACTGCTTTGCATGCCCTGGTTTGCTTGACCTTTGAGATGGCACGGCAGAGAGAGAGAGAGAGAGAGAGAGAGAGAGAGAGAGAGAGAGAGAGAGAGAGAGAGAGAGAGAGAGAGAGGAAAAGAGAGAGAGAGAGAGTGAGATTCCTGAAGATGTTATTTTGGTGCAGGTCAGAAAATTGTTGGCGCCAAGCTTTCATGCAACTTCGCTGCCTCTGGATGCTGTGTTGCCTTTCAGTAGGAGCCTGGACGTCCTCATGTGTCTTCATATGTTGTGCCACCCAGGCATTTGCCTTGTGCCTGAATGGAGGGCGGGCTGGACTGTGGAAGAAGATGCTTGACCACTTACGGGAGGCAGGGGGTGGGTGGAGGGAAGCTCGGCTCACAAGCGGGGCAAAAATGTGGTTCCGCTTGTTGAGAGTGACCATGCAAACCTCACAGTCTTTGGACATCTGGAATCATTATGTTGCTAAAACAGAGTCTGACAGGCAGCGGCAGCTATCCGCCCGGGGCAATTGGAGGGGCTGCAGGTCAGAGGGATCGGATCGAGCATCCAAACGTGTTGAGTGCGAAGCAAGTTGTGGAAAAGCAGCTCTGAAACCCTGAGGATCGCTTCATCTTTCAACTTCAACTAATGTATGGACAGGGACGTATGCAACAAGATCAGCTGCTAAACCTGAAGCTGATGTTGCTCTGGCCTGATTCGGCTTTTGACGACGTCGAGGTTCTCAGAGGGCACTGTGCTCGCAGTCTTGACATGTGCAAGACAGATGGCGAACCATGTCTGCACAAGATGGAGCTGGAAGAGCTGTGCAAGCAACATGTATGGCGCTACTGGCGGCTAGCGATGCCCAAGATGTTGGGGGCTTTCGAAGGTGAGGTGGGAGACGCGCAGGAGATTTCCTGCAGTGACGCCATGCTTGTTTTGGAGCGCCTCTACATAAATCTCCCTGCATCCGAGTTCGTTGCAGTGAGCTGGCGGCTCATGGACAGCCTTAAACGGCAAATAGATTCGACTCCAGGGACAGAGCTGCAGACGCTGATCTTCGACGAGTGCCAAGCCAGCAAACTGTGGACGGCGGGTGAGGAAGACTTCCTGAAGTTCACCTTTGATTCCGAGCGTGCACAGATGAAGCGGTATCTGCTTGGCAGGTCCAAGGCTTCAGACAGTGATGGTGACGAGCGACTGCTCTGCTTTTTTCGAGCCGAGTGCAAGAAGACGGGCGAGGAGAGCTTGAAACTCAAGCAGGCGGGATTTTGGAGATGCCTGCGACGCAAACAAAGCCACAATCAACAACTGCAGTAAGTAGCGACAACCGCCTGACAACCGCCATTCTCCTCCGCAACCTACACACTGAAAGCTACACTAGCGCCCAAAGGCAACCAACCGCCGTAGGCAGGCGTGACTACACGCGTGTAGTATTTGTGATGTGTGTCACGGGAGCCGCCAGGTCTTGGATGTCATGCGCTCAAAGCCTTTGGCCTCTTGGCAGTCCGAGCTTCTGGAGCTTCGGCTTCGATGCGTTTGCCAAAAGATTTTGGCGAAAAGGAGCCGCTGGGCTTCGGAAGGATGGTTATGGCAAGAGAGAGATGGTTAGGGATTCCAACATGTTCTGAGAGCAGACAGACATGTGCTGAACATTGCTTCACGAGCATACTTCATGTTGAAGCATTAAAACAGTCTTAGGTGGGTTTCGGGGGGGGGGGCAACGTTTCAGCTCTAGTGAGGAAGGGTCGTAGGGACTGCTATTGGTGTCAGGCGTCAGGGGAGCAGGTTTCTCACATTTTTTGGCCGGAGCCGCAGGCATCGGTCTGCGGCTCCTCCAAGCGATCTGACAGGGCGCCGGGGAGGGGGGGGGGGGGGGGGGGGGGGGGGGGGGGGGGGGGGGGGGGGGGCGTCACAAAAACGAGCAGAAAAAAGGGTTGGCGCTTGCTAGACGCCTTTCGGCAGGAAGCGAATTTTGCGCGGAAATGGAAGAATGCCCACAAGCTTAGAAGATCTTAGAAGAGAACGTTGTTGTGTGAGTTTCGCACAGTCGCTACAACGACTCCCTTGCGGGCCTTCGAATGTTTCCCAAGTGTTCGTAAAGGTGTTTTGATGTTGTTTAGTTTCCATCGGGTTCCATGTACGTCGGTACCAGTTAGCAAGTTGAGGCAAGGACTTCGAGGAGGAGCGTCTCAGAGATGTGCTTGGGGGCTTCTGCAGTGTATGCGAACAGAGGGACGACTCAGAGGGTGCTGCGCAAGTCATGGAGCTGGTGCATGAGAGGCTGTCCCGCCTCTTGGTAGCGTGAGTTGTTTTGGACGTTTGCGAGGGTTGCTGAGTTATGTACTTGTGAGTCCTGAAAACATACATGATGTGGGTAGTTACTCTACCTTTCCAGAGGGCCAAACACAGGCATTTCTTAGTGAACACGGCTCACTTTTTATGACAATTCCCCGTCACGATTTCTCCAAGAATTGCGTAGGGCTGCAAAGAAAAGGTGGAATGTGGAATCATGGGGCCGGGGGGGGGGGGGGGCAGTTATATCATTATATCTTTTGAGTCTTGCGGATAATTTCAAAATGAGCATTATCCTTGTTACATGCTAACCATGTTGTGAAGACCTGTGGGACACATTGAGAATGAAAAGCAAGATACTTGCGAGCAACTACTAGCAGCTAGCAGCCTTTTTGGGAGGTCCCAGTAAGTTGTAAAGAAACATGCTCACAGTATTCTCATGTATTCGCGCGTCCCCGAGGCTTACAAAAAATGGGGTTTTTGTCGCATCACCCTATGCACTCGAATACTTCCTAGTCTTTTGGCTCGAGGGTTACCATCCTTTTTTTATTATCTGTATTTGGGATACAATATACTCTATATCCATGATGTGAGCACTAATTCTATTTTTTTGAATGTCCATAGGAGGCAATCCCTGCAAACATAGGCAACATAGGCATAGCCCTCTGGGATTTCAGGTTTAGGCCTCAAGCCCTATAGTATAGGGTCATAATGTTCTAATCCTAAACGGCTTCGCTTTATAACCCTAAACCCTATAGGGTGTAAGGCTTCAGGATTCAAACCGTAAACCAAGGGTTTATCTTTAAAGCAGGAAACGGGTTAGAACCTTATATGGTGAAGGGTTAAGGTTGTTTACTCTGAAATTGGGCACTCCAGGAAGATTCTGGGGTTGGGCACTGCAGGCTGGAGTTGGGCACTCCAGGGAGTCTCTGGGGTTGGGCACTCCAGAAAGTCTCTGGCATTGGGCACTCCAGGGAATCTCTAGGAGTAGACCGGGCGAAGAGAAGAGTTGAGTTTAAAAGGGAATAAACCATATAGGTCTAAACCCCTACCCTGAAAAGCCCGAAGCTCTTGAACCCTTTGGGGTTTAAAGTAAGCCCTTTAGGATCTAAAGGTTTAAACCTAAACTGCTGGTGTGAACCACCAGCAGGCTGTGCAGAGACAAGTGGCTTTGCAAGCTCCCCTGACTCGAACAAACCTGCCATGGCTCACACAGACGCGGAGTTTTACACACAGGCGGACAAAGCAAGAACGACAAGAAAGTCTTTGAGTCTGCTACTGCTATAGGGCTAGGCACCTACAGCTAGAAACTGTACATGTGCTTGAAAGTGCCGCTCAAGCCCTCACGTTGTGACTAAGAGCAAAAGCAGCGACAGGGAAAACAAGGTTGACTACAGCTAGACATGTGCAGAAACTACGCTTCAACACTCCTCCTTCGCTCCTTCGCCAGGAGGAAGCGACAACAAAAACCTGCACATGTCCATCCCTTCCGGGAGGAGGTACAAGCTCCTACGGAAGGAAAAGCTGCAGTGGCTTTACGCTGGCCGGCTGGCCTCACTGTGAGGGCTCTCAGAGCACCTCTTGCAAAAGGAAGGCAAGATTGGCAAGGGTGTGCGATGCAATGCGCATCCTGCCCGTCAGGGCGGTGGTCGCCCTGCCGAGCTTCGCAGGTCAGCTTCGCCTTCTCCTCCTGGCCTGGTGGGTCCTTTGCTGCAAGCACTGCGGCGTGGGCAGCTGGCTCCTGCATGGACGCCGGTGCCTGACATTGTTGGGCCTGCGCGTACGGCTTGGGGGATGTGCCTGCAGCGCAATCCTTGGAAATCTAGGGAACCTGTTGAGGGATCTGGAGCGGCTAACTTGGGCAAATCTGCGGTTCCGGGCTTTACAACTTCAGGAGCGTCACTATCCTGACTCCGGAGCTGCTGCAACAGTACGCTTTGCAGCTGTTGCATCCCTAAGAACAATGCATCCAATGCTGGGCTACCTGAAGCAAGGCCATGAGTTCCCCCGGGCAGCGCGGGAACCGCTCCTCCTGGAACTGAGCCTCCTTGCAAACCTGGCGGCGGTGGAACCTGAGGCAGGCCTTGCGTTGCACTGTCAGCTGCTCCTCCTGGAGCTGCGGCTGGCGGCACCTGCGTACCTGAGGCCTGCGCGTGTGGCACCTGTGCATAGGCACCAACCCCTCCGGGTGGTGACGCGGGCACCTGTGTACCTTGCACCTGTGGCACCTGCGCGGGAAGATCCGCTTGCACAGTTCCAGCCCTTCCGGGTGGAGGAGAGCTGGCATCCCTGTCGGACCTACGCGAACCTCCTAACCCGGACCATAAACTCGACAACAAACCCCCACAAGATGTAGCCTGAATAGCGGGCGCCACACTCCTACTGGCATCAACCGCTTGAGACGCAACACCTTGTACCTGAGACATGTTGGGCACAGAAGCCTGAGACAGCTGAGACTGCATTGCAACCTGCGGAGGCTGCGCCGGGACATGTGCAGTGGACTGGGCGCTCGAAAGTGCTGCAGCCCTCAACGCCTGCTCCCTGTGAGCGTTGGCCTCTGCAATCTGCTGCCTGAGCCTTTGAATCTCTAGCTCCTGCGCTGCAATCTCTAACTCCCGTGCTGTAGCGCGCTGGTCCAGAACGGCCAGTTGCCTAGCAACCTCTGCCTGGATGACATCTTGAGGGATTGATGTGGAATCTGTGCCACTTTGAGGTCTGTCAGAAACTACGGGTTGGCTAGGGTAAAACAATGGGGCCCTATGCTCTAAAGCTTGCATACGCTGCAACATCCCTGCATTGAGCAACGGGGTCTCCCTTCCGGGGCCCGGGGCAAATGAAGTGGGGGTGCTGCGTGAACCCACCACCTGCGGCGGGGAACCTGTCTGCGAACCCACACTCCCATCTCCCAAAAGCAATGGGCCTGCGCGCGTGTGCATCGCACTTCTTGGCGGGGTGGCCTGCTGCTCAACTGACGGCACAACCGGAAGTACCTCAGTCCTAGCCACCTGAAAAAACTCTCCAACCCTCGACATAATTCGAAGGCCGGTTGCAGGAAACCCCTCAACCATTTCGGCGATGGTAGGCAATCCCTGCTGTGACCTCGGAGTAACAAACCCCTCTGCCCCCACGGTCTCCCCAGTTGACCTTATACCCCCAAGCACTCCACCCCCGCTCAAATCCGTAGCCGGACGGGCCTCACTTGATGCAGCTTGATGTGCGCTGGCGTTGGCTTCTGGTCCTGGCCTTCCGCCTGGAGCTATGCTTCGTGGTAGTGCACTTCGGGGTGCACTTACAATCATCCCACCATCAGTGGTGGTCGACACCTGGGGTGTGTGCCTTCTGCTGGGCCCCCACCTCCAAATGCCCTTCCCGCAGCCGTGTCCGATGCAAAGCCCACTCCACCTGCGGCGTGCACTTGTGCAGGTGTTGGCGTTGCATCCTGTGAACCTGGGTGACCATCCCTCCCGGTTGGCGGGGATGGCATATTGCCCAGGGTGCCATAGTGCCCTTGCCCAAGCGTTGGGCTCATAACCTGCTGGTGTGAACCACCAGCAGGCTGTGCAGAGACAAGTGGATTTGCAAGCTCCCCTGACTCGAACAAACCTGCCATGGCTCACACGGACAAAGCAAGAACGACAAGAAAGTCTTTGAGTCTGCTACTGCTATAGGGCTAGGCACCTACAGCTAGAAACTGTACATGTGCTTGAAAGTGCTGCTCAAGCCCTCACGTTGTGACTAAGAGCAAAAGCAGCAACAGGGAAAACAAGGTTGATTACAGCTAGCCATGTGCAGAAACTACGCTTCAACATAAACCCTAAACCTTTCAAGAAAACTTATAGTCCCTCGACCTCTACAGGGTTTGGCGGTGTAAATGCCTAAACCTGAGTTTTCAAATTCCAAACCTTCTATGCAGTTAAACCGAAGATTTCTGCATTTGAGCCTTCAGCGCCTTTAGGACTTAACCTTTAAACCTTTTAGAACCCTCTAGGGCTGAAGGGATTCTAACCCTAACGAGCTTGGGCTTAAGGTTTCAGTTAAGAGAGCGGCCCGCTAACCCCGCACGCCGGAAACCTCTACAAACATATAAGTTTACATAGCCGGTGATACAGCTGCGATCATCGCGCGACCTATATCGCAGAATTTTAAAAGAGGGTTACCGAACACAGGGGTAAACGCAACTCTCATTGATCAATGCCTGAACCGTAAAACCCTTAAGTTTGAACGTTATGGGCTTAGGTTTAGATGCCTATACTGCGCTACGCTGCAACTTTAATGGTTCGCATCTGCGGACATATTCCTGTTCAATTGAGGCGCGGGGGAAGGAGGGAAGGGGGGGAGGGGGGGCGCGGGGTCTTGAATGATGTTGGCACCCTCCCCACCCCTCCCCTCCTCCCCTCACCTGTTCTTGTTTATAAACAGACCTCTGTTGATAAACACGCCCTTGTTGGTAAACACGCCCTCGGTTTACAAGCAAGCCTGCCAGAAAGCTTAAAGATTTCCAATGGTGAGCCCGACATCTGGACTATCTAGAATATTATACCAATGGTATGTGAATATGGTTGGCCACCGCCCAAAGGCCAGACTCAACGAGTTACGTAGGTTTTTTCTTCTTTTGGGTGGTGGAGGGGATGGGGGCGTAGCAAGTATTATTATTCTAAATATGTAGGTCATGTATGACCCGCTGACCACTGTGATCCAGGCTTCGCTAGTGCAGAGGAGCTCGCAGCTGTCCTGTACACTATTCTGGAGGAGGATGACTTGGAGCCAGTGCTCAAGATGCTCCAGGAGGAGAGACACCACTTTTGAGAAATGGGAACTGTTGGCTCCCGCTGTTTCGGTTGGAGATGCAACATTGCTCCTTTTCCTTTCTACGTTCTTCCCGAATGCGTAGCAGCAGGGTTCCTGTTTTCAGGCTGGGGGTCTAGGGGTCAAGGAAGCGACCGTTTCTCACGCAGCCGTGGGCGCCAAGCGTTCTAAAACGTTCGCAAGTGTCCGCAGGCGTCCGCAAGTGTTCGCCATTGTTTGCAAGCCTTCGCAAGCGTTCGCCAGTTGGTGCTTTGTGTGTCCTCAGGACGTTTCCGTGGCATGTGGTGTATGCCTCGTGTCTTGACACAAGCCGTGGTAGCTGGTTTTTTTGTGTGTATGTGTGTGTGTGTCAAGAGGACATACAGGACATGCGCGCGGTATGTGTCGGGCACTTTGTGTCGTGGTTGCCGGGGTTTGTGTTTTAGGAGGACATGTCTGCGGCTTACGTTGGGCACAACATCTCGTGCTAGCTTGAGTGTCGCATGTGTCGCGAAGACATGTGCGCAGTATATGTATTGGACAGTTCGCGTCTTGAAACATGTCGTGGTAGCTAGTACTTTTCATGTTCTGGGTCGGAACCAGGGGTCGTGTTTTGCATTGTCCTGGGAACGTGTCTTGGGCTCGTGTCCTACAGGTCATAGTCCTGGGTTGCTTCGTGAGTTCATAGCGTGTGTTCATGTTGTGTCCTCGCTCAGAAAGGCAGCGAATCAAGAATGCAAGGAAGTGACGTGTTTGCGTTTGGGTTCGTGGCCGCTATCAGGCTTTTCTTGTCAGAGAAATGGTTAAATGACTGGCTTTGGTTCCCCAGAGGAGACGAGGTGTGGACAGCAGCTGCTGATCGACCTGCTATTCTGCCAAGTGAGGTTCTCAGACGGGAAAGCAATAGCGAGACTTGAGACTCTAAAGTTTCTGCTCGAGGGCGAGGACTTCCGCACGGTGCAGAGATTTGCAACAGTTTTCTCATTGAGGGTGCTCGAGCAGAAGGATCCGGCTTTCAAGATGGACGTCGTTCTTAGACTGATTGCCGAGAGTCAGGCCTATCGCAAACCCAAGCTTATCGACACATTGTCTGATATGCCTGTGACAGCATGGCCACGTCGATTACAGCAGGAGCTTATTCGGTTGCAGGTGGGCGAAAAGGGCTACGCCTCCAGCTCTGAGAAGTACAAGAAGGGGCTGGTGGAGATGCTGAGTCGCTTGCGCGAGCAAAAGGGCGAGGACTTCTTCCAGGTGTTCCTGGAGTTCATGGCCAAGCTTCAGGGCAAGCACATCAAGCCTCTCTGCCGACTATTGGCCAAGCTCCTAGGCAAGGGCGCATCTCTGCGCAACTTGCAACAGCTTCGAGATGAAGCAACTGCCGACAACGCCGATAGCTGGGAGATGTTGCTCTTTCAGAATGATGGTCCAAAAGACCGTGACCTTCTCGTCTCAGAGCTGTTGGAACTGATGAAGGCCGACAACAAAAGCTGCGATGGGGGCGTGAATGCTGCTGTCGCCAAGTTCATTGATGATGCCTGCTTCCCTCGTCTCCTTCACAATGTTGGTTACAGAGAGACTGACGGGGGCTACTGTGTGGACTTGGGGAGAAAAGCCCCACGAACCTTTGATAAAGATGAGACCTGGACCAAGAAGGACCTCTGTGACTGGACCAGGGAGGACGTCAGTGGATGGGCGAAGGCCTTCAAAGACAACGCAGGGGAGAACGATCTCAGGCGGCTGTCGCTTAGAGGGGACCAGTCACAATCAATCCTGGCTGAGGTCCTTTCAGTTCTTGTTCGGGCTGTGCAGCTCTTCAGCAATCTTGTGCCTCGGGTAACCCAGCTGATGGCCGTTGTTCTTCTTCTCAGCGGAGAGAACAAAGGTATGCTGGCAAACGTCTCCACAGGTGAGGGAAAGACTCTCATCACAGTCATGTTGGCGACCATCTTGGGCCTCTGTGGCAAGAGCGTTGACGTCGTGACGAGCTCCAAGGTTCTGGCAGTCCGCGACTCCAAACCAAGAGACACCCAGACAAGAGAAGGCTACGCCGACTTCTATCAGTGCTTCAACCTTGTCTGCAGCAATAACTGCGATGACGAGTGTGAGCAATCTGAGGAAGAACGCAAGCGCAGATATGAGGAAGCAGACATCATGTACGGTGAGGTGGGTTGCTTCCAGCGGGACATTCTGCTGAGCCAGTTCTTCGGCAAGGCCATTCGCATTGGCAGCGGGCTGGCAGATGCACTTATATTAGACGAAGTTGACAACATGATGATTGACAATGCAACCAAGACGCTGTATATTTCTCATCACATCACAGACATGAGGCATTTGAGAGACCTCTTCATGCGCATTTGGACGGCGGTGCACGGCCCGGAGTACGCATTCACTGAGGACAACGTGCGCAAGATTATGCAGTACATGAAGAACATCACTGCAAGTTGCCAGGAGATCCGGATCAACCACTGCATGCTGGCCGCATCCCTACGCATCGAGCAGCCAGCAGGCATCACAGCTTCTGCCTGGCAGGAGGTGCAGAAGTTCTGCCAAGGTGAGAGAGCTGTGCAGGTCTCTGAAAGTTTCGAGGTGGAGTTGCTTGACAACCAGACGTATCCACGTGATGACATTGTCGATGGGTTAAAGTGCATCATAGCAGCAGAGGCAGCTGCAGCGGAGAAGGCAGTGGATCCATGGGAGAGCGAGCTGTCCCAACAAGAAGCAGACGCACTCGACAGTCTCTTGCGGCTGCTCAACCTAGGTGCGATGGAAGAGACAGGAGCCAAAACGACGAAGATCCCGATCCCCAGAACTTTGAAAAAATTTGTGTCAAGAAACTTGCGGACCTGGATCGAGAATGCATACTTGGCGAAGTTCATCAAAGACGATGATCAGTACATAGTGGGCGATGCCGACTCCCAGAAGTTGGGTGAGATCCTCATCATGGACAAGGATATTGGGGTGGAGCAAAAGACGTCCAAGTGGGGCAAGGGCCTTCATCAGTTCCTCCAACTAAAGCACGGTGGCAAGCTAAGTGACGAGAGCTTGAAGGCCGTGTTCATGTCGAACATGAAATACTTTCAGAGCTATGACTTGCTCTACGGTATGTCTGGTACCATCGGCGGAGAAATGGAGAGGCGAATCATCCATCGCACTTATGATGTGGACTTTTTCGAGCTGCCGCGTTTCCGGGAGTATCTCTTTGAGCTTGATGATGAAGCATTCTCTGTGTCTGCTACGCAAAGCGAGTGGCTGCAGAACATCGTCAACAACATCGACGAGAACATGGATCAGCAAAAGACGTATTCTGCTGAAGACAAGGACGCACAGTTTAGGCATCTTTTAGGGCCTATGACAAGACCCGTTCCAAGTTCAAAGGGCATCGATGGAGCATTTGGCATAGGCTCGTAGGTCCTGGCCCTGCGCTGATGTCATGAGGACAAGTTGAAGAGGGAGCTGGTGCAGCTGGAGAAGGCGGAGCAGAGAGACCAGGCGAAGCTGACTGAGGCGAGACGTGCTGTTGGGCCCAGATTTCGAAATAAACCTACATAAACACATATGTATAAACCTATGCAATATCGTTTGAAGGGCTGAGGCCCTGGGGGTCGGAAGCTGGCCAGCAGGTAGGCGCCGAATTCGCCCCTTCCACCACCCCTCAAAGTTCTTGCCCCTTTCCCTTTGAAACGAAGTCGCGTCGTCTCGTGTTGCTGCTGTTTGACAATTGGGCTTGTGGGCTCTGTCAGGCTTTTGAAGAGGAGGGTTTAGTGATAGTTGACGTCCAGAGGTGAAGGCTGAGTGCCTGAAGATCCAGCAGAAGCAGGAGCAGCTGCAAGGAGACATTGAGGCATTAGAGAAGGTGGCAGCAGTTGGTGCCCGATATGCGCAGATAGATGCAGAGGGCCTGAGCCTCGATAAAAGCACGCAAGAGGTCCAGTCCTGTGCTGACATGCTCGCTGCATCGGATGACCAGAGCCTGCTGAAGCCTGGCGAGGAGGTGGAGCAGGTTTCCGTGCAGTTGCAAGGGTTCTTGCTGCGCAGAAAGCAACCCAATTCTGAGGGTGAGGAGGGCTCCTTCTCCTGCAAGGAAGAGATCCGAATGCTGGGAATTCCTGGCAAGATCAACGCTCGAAAGAAGGACTTGGCATTGCTGGACAAGCAGCTGAAGCCTTTGGCCGAGAAGAGGCATTTTTGCGAATCATCTCTGGACAGCCTCAGCTCAGACATTCAAGCCTTCACGCAAGAGCTTAAAGCGGCAGAAGCAGATGGCAAGATGCGGTGCAAGCGTGCCATCTTGGTGATATGTGAAAGTGTAGAGGCCAGCAAGAAAATAGAAGAGCGAGTTCGTAAGGCGTTTGCTGATCCAGAGCAGTATGGCGTTTATCGGTATGACCGTGCATACCGGCCCTTTGAAAAATCAAGACTGGAGGCTGGAGACATTGTGGTCGCCACAAATATCGCTGGCCGTGGAACCGATCTGGGTGTCTCGAAGCAGGTGGAGAGGAATGGTGGACTCCACGTGATCATGGCTTTCATGCCATCGAATGATCGTGTGAGGAGACAGGGCTTGGGCCGAACCGCCAGGGCAGGCCACAAGGGAACCGGAACGTACATCGTTCTTTGCGCGGACGGGGCCCATGCCGGTAAGTCGGTGGATGAGATCATGCGATATTGGGATGACCAGGAGTACGAGCGACTGCTGGCGATTGAGGGGGAGCGGTTCCCGAAGATCAAGGTGGAAGATGCCCTCTTCAACAAGTTCTTGAGGCTTACGGAGGAGATCAAGGAGAGTGATGCGTGCAGCAAGAAGCTGCAGCTCGCGAGCCTCCAGAACAAGTGGGCCATGTGGCTCAATGAGCACGAGCACTTGTTCAATGCGGCCCACAAGCCCGGGACCCAACAGAAAATCGATGAGGCTTACCTACAGTTCGAGGACCAAGTGCGGAGCAAACTTCAGGACGGCCCGTATGGCCTTGTCGAGGAGCCTGGTGAGCTGAGCAAGTGGGGTCGGATGCTTCTCGACAAGGGCAAGGCTTCCCAAGCCTTCGACTGTTTCCAGCAGATTGTCCGAGATCACCCTGACTTCTCAGAGATGGCTTACTACTACCAGAGCATTGCCATCATCTACCAAGATGGCGGCTCGGCTGGGTGTAGACTAGCTGTTGATGCTTGGCCTTCTAGAGTGTCTTTCGAAGTCGATGCCTCTTTTGTGCTAGCTCTACGACTCTACGTGTCAGTATCCTCATCTCTTCCGCCAAGGCGGCTTAGCCGGAAAGCGTCGCGCGAAAGAGCTTCTTACAAAGGCAAGAGCTGCTCTGTGCGAGCGCCGCGGCAACGTGACTGGCCGTGTTCAGACGCTAAGCTGCTCAGAGAGGCATGAGGGTCTTGTCGAAACTTGCAGCTCAAAAGAGTTTCAGTCTTGAAGTGTTGTGCGCTGACGCTTTCTGAGGATCTTGAAGTCCATTAACAACATAGCCCGGCGTAACGCTGGTGGCATGGTGAACTACTTCGCCAAGCAGCAGGAAGGAGAGGCACGGTGCCTCAGCAAGCACATTGAGGCCATTGACCATGCCATGGGTGCGGAGGAGGTGGTGCCTGAGCACTTCAACCTGCCAGGGACTGCGGGCTCTGCGTCTGCGCAGTTGATGTCTGAGCTGCGCGACCTAGGGATCTTGAAGGGTCCGCGTTTGAGCAAGAAGCTTCGCGTGGGCAGTGAGATCCTGCAATCGGGCCATGATGCTTGGCGGAGGGTGGAGGAGTTTCAAGCAGAAGACCGGCGTGCCTTGAACGCTTTGAAATCCAGAAAAGGCCAGCACAAGGACTTGGTGGAGAGTTTGCAGAGGAGGATCGAGCTCTGTGGCCGACTCCTTCCAAGCGCTTCAGGCTCCTTGAGTTCCTTGCTTGCGCATGGGTCACGTGGCTCCTGGAGCTACAAGCGCTGCGCTGCTTGACTTTGAAGCGTTGATGAGTCGCGGTTTCTTGGGGGGGGGGGGTTGGGGTTGGGGGTCCTGCACTACTGCTCCTGACAAAGCAGAAGATGCTCGCTTGTCTCATTTCCTTGTCATTTAAGGCTGCCATGGCGGGGCTGAGCTACGAAGACTTCGTGCTTGCTACCGAAATCTTGCAAAAAGCGGAAGTCATTTCTGACAGGCAGCTCTTCCGAGCCTCAAGCTCTTCCGACTCCTGTCAGACCAGCCTGGTGCCGTTCCCGGACGTTTTCATCTCAGCAAAGGAGGAGATTCTCACAAGCATCGAGCGCAAGTTGGCAGAGTCGGCAGAGGACAGCGGAAATTGGAAGTCTCGGAAGATCGATGCATCTTTCTTTGCAACCAGCCTCTACTCCCGCGAAAAGTTCATGCAAGACGCGTCCGACATTGTGAAGGAAGAGGACAGAATTAAAATCAGCGAGGACGTGGAGCTGAAACTTGCCGGGCAGCTGCAGCACGAGTCCTTCCAAAACAGCGGAGTCAAAGTTAGGGACGTCTTGGCAAGCGAGGCCCGGCGCTTGGCCCAGGAGAGGCAGTCTCACTCTGAGGCGCTGAGCAAGCTGCGGGCACAGATGGCCGCGAGCTCACAGGAGTCCGATAAGGCCAACAGAGAGCTACGCCGCTTGGAAGCCCACCTGGAGACGTGTGATGGCACGGTCCCCAAGGCAGAGCTTGAGGAAAGGCTGGTACAAGAGACTGGCTGTACCCTGGAGGCGGTGCGAGGCATCTTGCACTTCTTGGAGCACTATGAGAGGCTGACCATCGACCACAACTCAATCCGCAAGAAGCTGGCAGACGCAAAGAACAAGTCCATCTTCATGGGCTTTGAGAACAGCATCCATGCTTTCCTCCTGGAAGAGAAGGATGTGGAGGTGGCCCCAGGTCGGCGGGTTTTGCTCAAAAACAATGGGTTTGCAGCGAAGCAGGACGTCTTGCTTGGCATCCGAGTCTTGGCAAACTGTTTGCAGAAGGCAGATCCAAGCATGGAGAGCAATGTGCGTGCGATCCTCCTCCAGGCAGGGCTCGATGCGGGAGTTAAGTTCGAAGCTATTCGGAGTTATCGCGTTCACAGCTTCTCGCAGCCCGACGCCCTGGACCGCATCTCCATGGCTCTTGCGAAGATCAGCATTCCCGTGGAGGAGGTTGCGAAGCGACGTGTCTCTGCTCTAGAGCTCGGCTGCTCGCCAGCACTGCAGCGCAACGGAATCCTCATCAAGCGGCGTCTGAGGGAACTCATGGACGAGGCAGCTGCTCGTGGCGAATCCGCCGTTGAAGTCTCCGGGGACTCCTTCTTGCTACCGGATGACGATGGGACCCGTGTCATGGATGAGGAGGAGTTCGAGATGATGCGCACGATCATGCAGGATGCGCAGATTGTGAAGACTACCTTGGCCGAAATCCTTCGGGGCAAGGACATGGACAAGCCTCCGCCGCCAGAGCTCGAGAGAATTTTCACCGTCATGTACCAAAATCACGGCCGGATCACGGACCGAAACCCAATCCTGAAAGATCCCAAGGAGGCCAGTCAGGAGCCCTTCACAGGTTTGATTTAGGCCCAAAACCCGAGTTGCAAGCCACCAAAATTATAAGATAAAGATAGATAAAGTGAATACTGTCGGTGCAAAGCCCTGTCTGCTGAAAGTCCGCGGCACCCTAAAGAACCGTTAACCAAGCTTCACACTCCCAACCTCAAGCACTAGAAAGGCCTAGAGCCCAAACCCCAAGCTTTGTTTTGATAACCAAACCCTTGAGGCAGAATGGCCCCCCCGAACTTTGAAGCAGGAGCTGTACGCTCGACTACGCGAGCTCCGGGTGATTCTTCCTGAGCGGGTTCATTGGAGGATGGGTTGAGGGTTGTTTAGGGCTCTTGTTCCGCATTTGGTTTTGTTTTTCTTATATTCTAATCTTGTTTTGGTTCTATGGTCTTGAGTCTTGGGCCTTGGGCCTCAACTCCGTAATATGAGAGTTGGAAGCCAAAATGCGCAGAGGATGGGGCCTGTGAAGAAACAGCAAGCAAGCAACGGAAGGATTCAGAGACTGACGATTGTCGCTGCTCACGTGAGAAACTGCGAAGTCCACTTTGATATCGTTTACTCAATCACCTCCCCCTATATCAAACCCACCCACCCCCGAAATATGAAGTACTGCCCCCATTAAATGAGGTATATGATGCGCAGACTTTGTTGGGCTACGTAGGATATGAAAGGATTGGTCATTGGGTTTTCGTCGTGCTGTTTAAAAATCGGAAAGCGATAATAACACAGGCGATAACAACGCAGTCACCAGTCCCAATGGCCTTTCGCCATACACAAAAATCACGCTGCACATCATATATTGATAATGATCGTATAGTCGGAACCGTTCGATAGTTGGGGGAAGACTTCGGGGAGGTTTAATTGTAAACGCTTGCGCGCGCCGCCTCGGCAGCCGGGCCGGCCCCAGGACAGGAAAGGAGGAAAGAGGGTTTCGCAAAAAGGGAGGAAGGGCGGAGCGGGTGGGGGGGGGGGGTGTGGGGGGGGGTGGGGGGGGGGTCCGGGGGGGGGGGGGGGGGGGGGGGGGGGGGGGGGTGGGGGGGGGTCTGGGGTGGGGTGGGGGGGGGGGGGGGGGGGGGGGGGTGGGGGGGTGGGGGGGTGGGTGGTTTTTGAGCACTCCCCTGTAGGGCGGACAAGCGGGACCCTCCACGGCAGTCAGGGGGGAGGGTCGGGGGTGGGGCGGGGGGGTTGGGGGGGAGGGGGGGGGTTTGGTGCAAAGGGGGAAGGGTTGGGTTTGCAGGGGAAGGGGGGGGTCCCGATCACGGGTCGCTTGTTCAGACGCTTTCTCGGCAGAAGCCGAGGCAATTGCCTCGGCTTCCTGCCGAGCGCGAACTGACCCGGACGATCGGGCCTCCTTCCCCCTAACCCAACCCTTCCCCCCCATGCCAATTCTCTGACGCCACCCCCCCCCCCCCCCCCCCCCCCCCCCGTCCCTGTGGGGACCCCCCCCAATCCCTTGGAGGAAGCTTGCAAACCGATGCCGTGGAGGGTCCCGCTTGTCGGCTCCTCTTACAGGGGGAGTGCCCAAAAACCCCCCCCCCCCCCCCCCCACCCCCCCAACCCCCACCCCGCCCCCACCACCCCCCCCCCCCCCCCCCCCCCCCCCCCCACCCACCCCCCCCCGACCCCCCCCCCCGACCCCCCCCCCCCCACCCGCTCTGCCCTTCCTCCCTTTTTTTGGCGAAACCCTCTTTCCTCCTTTCCTGTCCTGGAGCCGGCCCGGCTGCCGAGGCGGCGCGCGCAAGCGTTTACAATTAGTTTAATTGGGCCCAATTTCTGTCCTGCACGGAAGGCTCAGCAGTGACCCCGCCAGCCGCGAGAACTACGTCAAGCAGAAGGTGGAGGAGGTGGTCTGCAAAGTCTTCGACCTGAAGCGGGAAGATGCATGGCAGCTCCCATGGAACACCCTTTTGCTGTTTGGGCATGTTTTGTTTAGACCACCCTGGCCCCGTGAGTAGGGCAAAACCTCAAACTCGGACTGTGACTAGGATGACTGGGCGCATGGGCTGGAGTCTTACATTGCGGGTGGACTCTCAGAGTCAAAGAACAAGGAGCTCAGATGATCTAGGCTGCATCTGGGGCGGTGGGTTTTTTCTGTATGGCACTGAGTTCAGCTTTTTGTTGGGGTTGGGCACATTGCGGTGCAAGGAGCTCGACGAGAAGATTGACGCCGTGACCAGCATGATCAAGCAAGCGGCAGGTATGATGCGGACACTCCCAGACATCAAGGTTAAGCAGAAGAACCTGAGCCAGATGTTCTCAGACGGGAAGGTTCCACCAGAGGTTATGGAATATGCGGAGATGTGCTTTGACAAGGTCCTGGAATATGAGGAGGACGGTAGGCACTGCACGATAGCTGCCCGCTGTGTATCTCGCTCTCTGTGCGTGTATAGAACTTCTAGAACGGTGAACTTGGCTCGCCTTGCTTTTCGGCATGAAAGAGCTCCGCCAACAATTAACCAGTGTCCTGAGCCCAGGACAAAGGGTTTATGGATTGGGATTGTTTCTTTGTCGTCCTGATCGGGGTGGCGCAGATTGTGGCCGGGGTTGCCTTGGAGGCACACCATGGCAGCATATGTTTCGCATGGACCCCTGGAAACCAGAAAATGAGTAAAGAGGCCCAGGCAGATGAATGCTTTCAAACTCGGAGTTTTCTCTGAGCCTTGGGCCACATGCAGTCCATAAGCGCACCCATCACTCTGTCCAGGTGATGCTGTTGATGCTGGTTTCAAGTCCCCCCTGAAGACTATGACAAAGGGTGGCACTATAAATTCCAATGGCTTAGTGAATACTCCTTACCGCACCCAGACGGATCCAACAGATTCCCACGTCCTGCCAGGCTAAAGTTGACCACAGGTTTTGCCAGTCTGGAGTAGTGCAAGTGCCAAGCTCGCCTGCTAGGTGCTCACAGGTGGTGCTGCTCACTGCATTGCTCAGGGGGTCATCGCCGAAGGCATCGGAGACATTGCCCCTTGACAAAAGTCAGAGTCTTGTTTTCCACGAGGCCGCTGGCTAGGAACTGATCTGAACGAAGGTGTTCTTGATTTGGGGCACTCAGTAGGAGTTGTTTGCATCCTGGGTGCTGGAGCTTTAGATGGATCAAAACCTGCGGAAATGCCAGAACTACTAACCACATTGTCGTATCAACGGTCATTCCATGCCGTCGCGCGTGTATCCTTTTTTATCGACATATATCGTGTATTTGTTGAGATTGAATGGAAATTTTGAATAAATATTGATTGTTTGCCCCAGCCTCGCAGCGCTGGTTTCAATATGGCTTTTTGCCGCCAACAGCTCCAGGAACGCCTGTGTCGTGTTCCAGCGCGCGTTGCTCACCAGCGCCCAGTTTTAAGTTCTTTCATTGTGCTCATACGTCCCTTTTCTTGTCTTCCTTGGCCTTGCTACTTTGTTCCGATCGTGGCATGCCCCCACCACCACGCGCCGCAGAGAACAGCAGCAGCGGCAGCGGGTGGCAGCATTCGGATTTGTAGGCTCTAGCCGACTCTAGCCGTTTTAATTTAATAGCCGCCAACTGGACGTGTTCGAGGCACCAGGGACTCGGCAACCTGAGACATCTGTTCAGCTACAGCCTCGTTGGGGCCATCAGCCATGGGGCACTAGTCCCAGTCTGCCAGCGTGCAGAAAGCAACAAGCGACCCAACAGCCATGGTCGCAGGCGCCGCAAACATTGCCGCTCCCCGCCCAGGTCTTTGCAATCAATGCTTGGGCCGCCGGAAGTTTTTCGTGGAACGCCTACGGCCAGCACAAGGTGCCTGGACATTCTTGCTAGGATTGTTTATGCGTGGAGGTGATGACTACAAGCCGGAAGCTACATCACCAGAGTGAGAGGCAGAGAAAGACAGAGAGATAGACGAGAGAAGAGAGAGAGAGAGAGAGAGAGAGAGAGAGAGAGAGAGAGAGAGAGAGAGAGAGAGAGAGAGAGAGAGAGAGAGAGAGTGAGCAGAAATTTTGGCAAGTCGCCTGGGGCGAACCCGCCCCCCTCTGGGTGGCTTCAGTCACTGCCTGTGAGGGACGCGGGGTTTGATTGGCTGACCAAAGCACGTGTAAGGTGTCCGCGCAGTTCCCCCCAAGAAGATTGCGGGCCATGGGTCGCTCAGAAAATCTTCAGCCGAAGCGCGAAGCTCGCGAAGCCAAAAGCTTCAAGCACAGCGCGAAGCTAAAAGCTTCAAGCTTCAGGCTTCAAGCGAAGTGCAAACACAACAGTTTCAAGCTTCAGGCTTCAGCCGAAACGCGAAGCTCGCGAAGCTCGCGAAGCTAAGAGCTTCAGGCTTCTGGCGAAGCGCGAAACTCGCGAAGCTGAAAAGTTTCAGGCGAAGCGCGTGAAGCTCAACGCTTCAGAGATTCTCAAGCTTCAGTCGAAGCGCGAAGCTAAAACGTTCAGAGTTTGGGTGAAGTGGATCGGTATCTCGGAAACGGTGAAACACGAACCAAACAGCCGAGAACGTGAAGAAGGTTTTCTCCCCAAGGGAATTCACCATTTTAACAAACACAAAAGCAGTCGCCCAAGCGCAGTTCGCTGCGCATTGTTTTGTCCTATTCCCTGTAAGCTGAACACCAACTTCGTCGTAGGTTTACGCCAGTAACACCCTGAGCCTCTGTACATGGCCCCGGTTGGCCCAACTTTTCGTAGCAGCCTGGAAGCTAGTTTTTTCAATTGACCGAAATCTCGTTAAAGGAAGTAACCTTATTTGTCCCCCTTCCCCCCCTCGTGGGTCCCGGGTGCAGGATTGCGAGTTGGAGGACTCTTCGGTTCTCGGGAGAGGGAGGGGCACCGACTTTCAACAACATTCCACCAGCCGGGCCCAAATATGCTGAGGACCCCCAATCGCCGGCGATACTCTCACATCGGCGCACCCAAGCAGCCTGGGGGTGGGATGGTGGGATATTTTGGCTTCAGACTCGCGCCTTCCGGGGCGGCGGGCCGGGGGGTGGGGGGGTCAAGCGTAGCAAAAAACAGAAAGAATGAGTGACAAAAAAATGAATCGCGATAGAGAGAGAGAGAGAGAGAGAGAGAGAGAGAGAGAGAGAGAGAGAGAGAGAGAGAGTGTGTGTGTGTGTGTGTGTGTGTGCGTGTGAGAGACGATGCTTGCTGAAATTTGCAGGGTGTGCCCTAAACCCATCCTGCCCAAGATTTTTAACGGTCTGCTCCTCTTTTGTATTTCATGAAGGCCTCCCCTAAACTTTTCCTGGGCGTTAAGGGGTACTCAGAAGGCAGGGCCAGTAGATTCGCCACATCAGTACGAAAATCGAGTCCAGTAAGCCCCCCGCCCCCGTGATCCCCTGTGAGCGTGGTCGGTTCGTTATTTGTTTGTTTGCTTGTTTGTTGGTTGGTTGGTGGTTTGGTGTTGTTTGGTTTGGTTTTTGTTGCTGGCCCTGGGAAGTCCAGTATCTCACATTCAGCTGAAGGTGCAGAGCCTGATGATCTCTCTCTTAACAGCCGGCGTCGGGAGCTTGATGAGCAAAGGCGCCCAGGCCGGGAAGATGGGCATTGGGCTCGCCACAAAGACGGCAGTCACCAAGGCCCTTTGATTGCTGAAAGAGGGGCTTTTGGGTCACTGTGGGAACTAGGGATCTACCTTGCTGAGGCTGAGGCTGTTTGGCCTCCGAGGGTGTGAAAGTGCATACCACACATGTTCAATGCATTGTCTTCTAAGGCTATATACAAAGAGGCGATGATCAACATCATCGTCGGTGTGGCTGATGCTGCCACCTCCATTGGAGCCGAGGAAATGGGCAAGGCTGTCATTGATCAGCTGGCCAACGTGCACTTTGCGAAGCACTTCGAGGAGCGCTGCCTTCGTTGTAGAGGGCCTGCAGGGCTGGAAGTGTGGGGGTGGGGTCTGAAGGCGTTTCGGCGGCACATCAGCCCTGCGCAACCCTGGCTAGCCCTCTCCTAGATCCTAAGCTAGATGGCAGCGCAGTTCCAGGAGTTCATCCGGGGGCCGGAATATCAGCTGGCTGCCAAGAAGGTCAAACAAACACTCAAAGAGTTCTATGACAGGTACGGTATGGACAGCAAGGCTGAAATCGATGCCTGTATCAGCAGCACCCTGCAAGATCTCATGTCTGGCACCCTCGGGAGCAAGATCCACGGTCAAGTGTCCAGAGTGGCCCAAGGCGTCAGCCAAGGCCTGGCAACGGCTGCCACGAAGCTTGCAAGAGCGAAAGGTAGCAAAGCAAAGGTCTTGGGCACTGTGGCCAAGGCTACGAACACTGTGGTGAGCGCAGCAAGGTATGGCAATGAGCTGATCCAGCTTTGCAGCCTTTCCACGGATTTTTTTAATCATTTGGATCTCAAGCTTGCTCGGCTTGACAAGGCCATGAACGCTAAAGTGAGGAACGGAACGTACAAGATTGATGTAAACAGCTTGAAGCAGCAGCAGGTCGATATTTGTTTTGCAGATGTCGCCAAGAAAGACATGGAAGATGTGGATGACCAGCTGCATGAAGCTTTCAAAATGAAGATTCGCCAAGGCTTCTTGCAGCCGGCCGTGCAGGGGCTGATGAACATGGCCATGAAGTCAGTCACTCAGGTGGGTAGTTCTCTAAACTAGGGTACCTTTTGGAGTCCTTGTCATAATAGTGACGCCCCTTTTTTGGAGGATTGCAAAGGGACGATAGTTGAAGCCCCCAGGTCCTGACCTCGCCATTCTCAAAGGCCATGGAGCGCTTAGAGAAACATTGCAGCGAGCGCGCCGAGCTGTGTCAACAGCAGATCATGATGCAGAACGAGCAGCAAGTTGCGGCGCTGACATCGAGGCAGCTGTGCGCCTTGCGAGAGCGCGGAGACATCCTGGATACCACTGCGTTAAAGAAGCAACTTGGAACTAAGCAGTTTCAGAGGATCTTGGAGGACCCTCAGATCGTGGCCAACTTCAAGGGACAGAGTTTGCGAGCCTTGCTGCGGGACCATGGCTCCGCAGTGAAGCTCCTCGTGAGGAAAGGCGAGTTGTACGTCGTTCTTCCGAGCTACAAGGAGATGTGCCTCAGCCTGGAAAAAGGGCAGGTAAGGTTTGCCAGCAACACCCACACTGTTGCTATTGCTGCAAAGAAGCTGGGCCGGACCATTGAGCTCTGCACATTGAACCTGGATGGCAGCATACAGCCGCTGGAGGGGACTAAGGACAAGTTCATGCCCAGTCAGTCCACTAGCAAAGGTGGCAGCATCAAGCTGGCCTTCATTCCTGGCGAGAATGGGCAGGACAAGTTTGTGTTGCTGCATTGTTCTCGAGATTTTGCCAAGCCTGTTTTTTTAAAACATTTGAACCGGCAAAAAGTTTTGGCGATGGATTCAATGGATGTCTTATAGAAGGTACGGTCGGGCCTGGTCCGCATTCTTGCCTCGACCGCGTAGGGTTCGCGTAGGCGTTCGTCCTGCGTAGGTTTGCGTAGGTTTGCGTTCGGAAGTGATGCGTTTATGTACGTTTCGAGTGGGGTTGCGTGGGTTTGGCTTGTGGAGAGGCCGTGTTGGCTACGCAAGAATTGTGCTGCACGAATATTTTCACGACTGTTCAGCGCGCAGGAGGGGCACTATGCGCCTCTTGTCCAAGGCCAAGACGGCAAGTGGGAAGCAGTGGACATCAAGCAGAACGTAGCATCTCGTGACGCCTGCTTTGCGCAGAGCATGATCTGGACCCAGGAATGTGAGAGGCGTGGTAAGGACCACGCCAGCAAGGTGGCCACAGACCAGATGCGAATAGATGGCTACTACAAGTCTTTGGGCAGCTTTGCCCGCAACAACCCTGAGGTCAAGGACATGTATATGCAGGGAAGCTCCATTAAGCGGAGCAGGGTGGTGGGAGGGGTCACGGTCGCATCAGTGACCAGCGATTTTGAAAGAAGACACGTGGACACAGCAGCTGCCACGCCTGACGACCTGATGGAAAAGCATTGGAGAAGACAATACCCTCCGGGAAAGTTGAAGCCTGAGTACGTCGACAGGAACTCCGTATTCCTTAGCAATCAGGGGGCCAGTCTTTTCTTGGGTGACCTTTCCAACCTTTCAAGCTTACCGTGCCCTCAGCCCCGTGGCAATCAGGGATGGTTTACGACAGCGGCATACCAACATCTCCAGTTCGCTGAAACCTTCTGGCTGCCGAGGGAAAATGTTGACAACTTGGTAAGCCAGATACAACTAGGCAGGCCCAATGCTCACGTGCCCATCAGACAATATATTGATGGTCAAAATCAGGACCATTACTTCTTCCTTCAGCGGAAACCGCTGAATGCGTCGTACAGGTATCAGCTGGCCACTAGAGTCGACAAAAAAGGTAATCGCCAAGTGAACCACTTCCACGGGGCCCTTGAAGTTCAGAACCCCACGACGGTGAGTCTCGAGTGGGGATATTCGCAAGTTGGACGACCACTCCCGGGCGGGCCTGGTCAGTTCTGCCCACGCTGGAAGAACTGGAAGAATGTGGTCAAGTGGTACACCGCTCCGACATGGCGCCAAGAGTACCAGAACACAACGGATTGGAACAATCTCTGAGTGCTCGGGTGTGGCTAGGACCGTAGACTGTGAGGTGTACCCAGAGACTCCAATATCCCGCAATTAAGGAATATACTTAGTTCCTTAAGCCTTGAAAGATATTGGGGTCCTCACTACTCCTCATGAATATTCCTTAGTTGAAGTCTTTTTGGGTACATGGATCGCGTTCATAGAGAGTGCCTTCAATTCAGCAGCTTGCTGTGCTCCCTTTGCCTCGCTCATCCTGGAGAGGCCACGACCCCCCCCCAAAAAAAAAAAGCAAATGAAGTTACCACTTCGAGCATCCCCACCGAGACCCTTGAATCCAAGCCCCTCTCTAAATTATGCCTTAAACCGCACATCTACGTCCCTTTCGGCCCGCCTGAGCCTCCTTGGCTTGCCTATTGCGTCTGGCCACATTCCGGTACAGCTGCCCGCCTGAGCCCCGTTGGCCTGCTCATTGCATGTGGCCACATTTCCGGTACAGTTGCCCGCCTGAGCCTCCCTGGCCTGCTTAGTGTCCTGAATCTCGTACTCCTTGCTGTCTGCCTGTGGTCCTCAATGACGTACTGCCTTCTGTCCTGAGAGTCGCGTCACATGATGTGCGCCGCCGTTTTGTCCTTAAAATCTAACAACCCCACTTGTCCGGTGGGGAACCAATAAACTGTTGCAAAACAGGGGAACAGCACCTTTGTTCAGTATGTTCGTACAGCGGGCTTCTGATATCCTATTCTTGGCAGGCCGTGGGTCATGCGACTTCTCCGGGATAGTAGCCTTGGCATCCCCTGTACAGGTGATTCCCGTCGCACCTTGGGTTGTTGCTTCACGAAAGCAGCCGCAAATATCCTTATTAGTACCACAGGCAACCCGACTTTTGCATTTGGCATGCCGGTAGGTCGCACAGCTGTCCGTTGCAGTTTAGCTCTCAAACCTAACACCCCGGGCTGGAATCCGTGCACGCTGCATTGCTGGCAACTAAACTGCATCTTCATGCGCTAGCTCGGGCGGCGCGAATTCGGGACAGGTCAGGGCAGTCTCTACCAGACTCTACCCCTGACACATTTGAAAAGATCTCCAGGGCACAGACCAACAAGTGGTTGGAGAATAAAAAGTGTGGTTCCGTGTGCTCTCGGGGCAGGCCCCGAGGTGGCAGTGTAGAACAAAGTGTTGTTGGGAGTGACATGTAGCGAACATTTACGCAGTTCGAGTGCTCGAGCCTGCGACTTGCTTCCTTTCTTTTGATCCCCACCCTCACCAACCGGTGGTGTTGGGCGTCGAGCCGACCTCGGAACGACGACCACGATGCCTGCCGGCAAATACGCTTCAAAAGGAAGACCGACTGCACATTTTGGCTTTAGTGTGAGTGAAGCCATGTCTGGGCAAAGCAACGGGTCGGCTTTGTCTTCCTGGGTTCAACCAACACGGGCCTCAACATCGAAGCGACCATTTTTGGATCATTTTGGCTGAAACGGCTCATTCCAAACAGATTCGTTTACGAAACGTTCTGGGCAAACACTTGTGCTTGAAATCTTCCCTCGCTCCCGCCTGGATACCATCCACCCCCTCCCCCTCCCAAATCACTCATTTTTCAATTTACTTCAAATTTGTTCATGTCAATTTACTTAAACCTCCTTTGTGTCCACATCTTTGATTTGCGTGAACCTCCCCCAACCTCCTACATGTCTAGCCTTGAATCGCTAAGCCACAAAACCCTAAACTCCAAAACCCTGCACAGAAGGACGAACTGATCCTCGAGTGATGTGTGCAGTGTGCAGTCTAACGCATAAGCAGTGCACAACAGGTCGCTTTGGCTCAAGGAAAAGACGAGCTCATATGCTAAGCAATGATTCTGGTGACTGCTTGAAACGTGGTTATCAGCCGTATCTTCCACGACGGAGACCGGATTTTGCCTGCAGTGCGATCGTGCGTACGCGTAGGAAACGTTATCACTATTTTGTATGTCTGAACAGCCTGAGAAGCTTGACTCTGCTGGTCAACCGTTTCGTACTCGAGCTCGGGGCAGTAAGAAAGTACGCTGAGCGGAAAACTGTAACCGAGAGAGTTCAATTCAAGTGGGGGGAATACGTTCCTAGAAATCGGTGGTCCGATGCAGTTACTGTAGCAATGTTTTGTTGCACTTTTTTTTGTGGCGGATGGGGGGGGAGGGGGTGGGGGGGTGGGAGGGGGTGGGGGGCAGTGGGGGGGGGGGGGGGGGGGGGGCTTTCAAAAACCGATAGACAGGCACCTCCATAGATAGCTATGCATGGGGGGGGGGCTCTGGCATAGACCCGATGCGTGCGATAGACCCCTATGGTTTAGGATAGGTCCCTATGCCCAAACCTCAACCCTAAAACCCCTGAGCCCTAAACCTCAAAGAACACTAAACCCTAAAACCCCCTAAGCCCGAAAAAGCCCTAAACCCTAAACCCTAAAAACCCTAAACCCTAAAACCCCCTAAACCCTAAACCTTAAAAACCATAAACCAAAGAACCCTAAACCCGAATTCCCCTAAACCTTAAAAACCCCTGAACCCTAAACCCTAGAAAAACCCTAAGCCTAAGCCCCAAAAAGCCCTAATCACTAAGCCCAAACAAAAACCCTGATCCCTCAAGAACGCTATACTATAAACCCAGCCCTAAAGCCCAAAAAAATCCCAAACCCAAAAACCCCTAAGCCCTATGCGGAGCTGCAGTTTGTATTTTCGGCATTGTGTTGAAAGTAGTTGCAAAGGGTCAATGAACCCGTAAACCTTTGCCTCAAGATGGGCTGTACTAAAGAGCCCCGAGTTAAAAAAGTTGGAACACGTTGGTTGGGTTTGGGATTTACCCTTAGGTGCTTAGGCATAGGGTCCCTTTACTCCCTTCCTCGTTTCCTCCTGTCCGTGTTCTGTATCCGTGTTTCTGGTTGGTCTGGGGAATAGAATTTCCGGGCGACCATTGGGGTTGATCCTTTCCCTCTTTGGTTGCGGTTATGAGCCCAAGCGGTTCCCTGCGGTAAGTTGTTTTCTTTCGGGGCTTGGGTTTAAGAAGCAATGCCTTCGCCCAAGCGATGGCTTCAATCCTCTGCGAATGGCGCGGATGATGGTGGAGTTGGAAATGGTGCAACTGGTTCTCCTGCAGAAGAGGTGGTGCTGGAAGCGATGGTGCCTGGTGCTGCTGAAACAACGGTTGCTGAAAGCCCCAATGAGGGTATGGTTCCCAATGTGGAGATGGCTGACAACGCTGAAGGTGAGGGACGCCGCCAAGGGCTGGGGAGAAAAGGCCCTGGGATGAGACTGGTGGTGTGGACATGGAATTGGAAGCGACGGTGTTGCGCGTGATGCTGAAGCATGGTTTTCCTGCGGCGTCGTCCTCGTCTTCAGGTCGAAAAATGGTCAGTCAGGAAACGCAGACTTATTTGAGTGGTGAGGTGGCTCTATTGGAAAAGTCGAAGAACAAGATTACCGAGGAGCCAAGTGGTGGAAACGGTGGTGACCATCCTTCTGCAAGTGGTTCTGGTGTTGAGACCTCGCTAGAGCCACAGAAAGTGACTGAGATGCATCCTGAGGAGATTCTGGAGCTGGAAGCCGCAGGAGCGAGAACAAGAGAACGCTAAACTGGAGCAACTGCGGCATCCGAGGCCTTCCTGAAGGGAAGTGAGGCCCCTATGGTGAACTCTGAATGGGAGATGCATTTCCAGGATGGGCGACCGTACTATTACAATATCACCACTCAGAAGTCTCAATGGGAATGCCCGGAAGGGTTTGTTAGCACTGCTGAAAAGGTGTCCGTGGACGAGCAGGCTGGAGCTTCGGTGCAGAAAGGGAAGAACAAGGTTTCCCCTTTGAGATTGGAGCTGGGTCCTACATCGTCTACGCCGTCATCTGAGTTTGTAAGGGCTTTTCAAGGTGGTTGTATAGAAATGGAAGTTTCCTCTACCGTTGGGGATAGCGGTTTAGTGGGTGGTGAAGCTACTCTGACCTCGGGTTCCCCCAACGAGGAAGTAATTTCTGGATCGCAAGAGGACATGGCTGCAGCACACCTGGATCAGAGAAAGGAGACAGCATTTTCTGAGGGTGACGCAGCGGTGAATCCAGCGGTTCCGGACAATCAGGTTCGCAATGCTACTTCAGCAGCAGAAGTCCTGGTGGTGGATATTGTACCTGGCAGTCAAGGAAAGGTTTCCGAAAAGAATGAAGGTTTGCGGAAAGAGCCCGATGTAGTGGCAGATGATTCTTCCCAACCTAGTGCCGAAATGTCCGCCTTCCTGGAGAAAGATCTGTGGTGGCTGGAAGTACTGGAGATTTGCCTGACGTGGGGGTCAAGGCAGAAGCCTGGAGCACCAATGAGGCGCGGGCTGATGTGCCAGAGAAAACCTGGAGTGCAGAAGGAGCGCGGGTTGAGGCACTGGGTGGTACATGCTCCGCAGTCGACTGCAACAATGGGGCGCAGGTCTCTGTAGTAACTGACGATGGAGGTGCATCGGCGGACGTGCTTGTGCAGCCTGAAGTTGGTGGCGTGGAGCAGGAATCTTTGAGCCGCGCCGGAGCCAATGTGGCAGCTGTGGCTGATGATGATGGTGTTCCTCCTTTGGTAACCATGGAGCCAAAGGATCCTGCAGCGGAAGAAAGTTTGCCTGCTGTGGATGAATGTTCGAAGGACCCAAAGGAAGGGTTCTCTCCGAGGAAACGGAGATTGCGCCAACTGGTAGTTTGCAGGAAGTCGACACCAAGCAGGCTACAACAGTGAAGGCGACAACTTCAGCGATGGTGGATCCTGTGTCTTTGGAGCGCAAAGTGGATGACTCTGCGGGACTCGTGCAAGCGCAGGAAAAACAGCTTGGTCCAGACGTGGAAGCAGGGGAAAAGCTGGAAGATGAAGAAACCAAAAGGAAGAAGAGCCCAATGAGGCAACCTCGGCTTCGCCTGGCAAGCATTGGTATCAAGCGGGTGATTCACTCATTGGTTATGGATTTGGACTTGGAGCTGGATGATGGTGATGATGGAGCATCCTCTTCAGGACCGCTCAGATGGAAGCGTGGGA